TCGTATGTATAATAATACGTTAATTTATTATAATATAAATTAATTTAATAAATTTAATATATAATTTTATAACTTTTATTTTATAATTATTATAAAAAAAGAAAAAACTCTTTTTATAATTAATTATCTGAATTTCAAAAATTAAAATATTTTATTTTCATATAATAAATTCATAAAATAGTTAGAAATATTATATATAATATTTTTAAATATAAAAAAATATATAAATATTTATTTTATTTATTAATTAACTTTTTTTTATTTTGTATAAATATTTATTAATTAAAGATTATTTTAATATTAAAATTAAAAAAATATATATATATAAATATATATATATATAAATATATATGTTTATATATATATATATTTTATTTAAATTCTTTAATCAACAATTTTATTTTTAATAAATATTTTTTGCTTTAAGTAATTTTTTATAATTTCCATATTCATTAATATTAATATAATTGTAAAATATTAATTATAAATAAATTAGTAATTAAATTTTTATAGTATAAAAAATATAAATAATCAATAAATAATAAATAAAAAACCGTTATTTTATTATATTTATATATAAATAATTATTTATATATAATATATATATATATTTATATATATTTATTTTTAGTATTTTATTAATAACTTTTTAATAAGATTTAAAATAAATCTTAATACATATAATTTTAAATTATATTTAAAAGAAAAAAAAGAAAAATATTTAAATATAAAATAAAATAAATATGACTTTTTAAAAAATTATGGATTACATCCCTATATTTGTTCATGATTTAAGAAATTAACTTTAAAAAATTGAAGTATGTATACAATAAATGAGATAAAACAACTAATATATAAATAATTTGATTGATAATATTTCAAATAGTACTTAATAAATGAAACTTCAAACAAACAAAGTATTGGATTTATTTAAATATATAAAAGAAAGCTAAGAGATAATGCTATTTTAAAATTTAGAATTTTAATAAACTAATTTAATTGAATATTTAAAAAGCTTATATAATTAAAACCATGTATTAGTTTAAAAAAACCCTAATATAGAGTTTTAAATCTTTATATAAAAAAAAATCCCGAACTATGTGAAAATCCCAAGACTAGAAGTCCATTCTGTCCTTTAAAATTTATTATCTAATTCTTTTAAATTCACTGAAAAAGGAATTATTCGATTAATAATAAGTTTTTTTGAAAAAAAAGCCGAAAATTAATTATATTTAAAATAAATGACCAAAAATATATAAAACACTTAATTTTCCTAAAATACAGATTACATGAACTCTTTAAATTTTGAAAAGAAGATTTTCTCATAAAAATCAACTAAAACCTCTTTCGAAACCATCACAGAAAATACATGTGAAAGTCAAGTAATCACCTCGTCTTCGTGTATAATACCTCCCCATCATACCCCAAAATAATTCCATATACATACTTTAGCGGAAGTAAATGTAATATAATAAATTGACTAAAATAATAAAATAACTTCATTGAATAACTCTTTAGTTGATTTAGGGGAATATGTATTACATGAAGTAAATAAGGAATTCCATAATAAGGAATATATTTAGTTATTTAAATAAAATGATTAATTAAGTAGTATTTTTATGGAAAAAAAGAAAAAGACAGAAATAGAAGGGTATTTGAAATTCGAAGTTTTAGATACTGGAATAGGTATTGATTTACATGAATAGGCGAATATTTTTAAAATGTTCACTTAAGCTAATAAGGAAATTAATATTATGTATGGAGGTTCTGGTGTAGGTCTATATTCATGTAAATAATTGGCGGAAATTTTAAATGGAGATGTGATTTTTTATTCTAAGAAAAATATTGGAAGTTCTTTTATTTTTTATTTTCCATGTTTTGGAAATTATTTATAGTAGCCAGAAGAAATCGAAAAATAATTGGTGTAAGATTTTTAATGTGATAATTTTAAGTTTTCTTAAAAAATAGATATTGTTTTTGTAGATGATTAGTAGTTTCTTTTAAATTATTACTCTAGTTCTTTAAAAAATAATGGATAGATTAATATTTATATATATATTGATCCTTTAAAAGTTATTAAAGAATTCGAAAATAATCCTAAGAAATTCCAGTTGGCTATTATAGATTATAATATGCCGGTTTTAAACGGATTTTAATTATGTTAAAGTCTCAAAAATATCAATCCGTAAATAAAAATTATATGTTAATCAGGAAATATGAATGACGATTTTATTCAATAATGTTAATAGGTTGGATTTGATGATTTTTTAGAAAAACCTTGTAGTATTTAGAAGTTTAATGAGGTGATTTATAAAAATTTGTAAATAGTAGATGATTTTAATAAATAATTATGAGAAATTTTTTTATATATAATGATCTTTTAATTTATATTAAAATTATATATGTAATTTTTTATATTCATATATTTAATATATTTTTTTAATTTATGTTTATAAAATAAATATTTTTTTAATAAAACTTTTTTTTTTAAAAAAAAAAAATAATAATAATATATATATAAAAAAATTAAATTATTTTTATTTTTTTAAAAAAAAAATCAAAAGGAAAGTTATTTTATATTATTTTATATTTTATCAATTTCTCTTTCTAACATTTAAAGTTTGGAAAATTATAATTCTTTATCTTTTAAAGTTTATTTTAATTCCTAATCTTTATTTTAAATACTTTTGTTCATTTAAATAATAAATAAATCTGATTAATCAACTTTAATTTTAGCTTCATTGACTGTTTTTTACATATCATTTACCATTTATTTCATGCCTGTTATTTAATTGTCTCTTAATTCAATTCCTCTTTCTAATTTATTTAAAAGTAAAACTTAATCATTATAATTATCATTCATTTTATTTTTTAATTAGAAATAATTAAATTAATATTATTAAAAATAAAAAATATATTATTAAAAAAATAAAATATTATAAGATAAAAAAAAATTCCTTCTTAAATTTATTTAATAATTTTTAAAAAACGCAATGAAAAAAAAAATAGCTGATTTTAAAATATAAAAAATAAATTTTAAAAAATTATAGAAAATAAAAAGAGTAAAAATAAATATAAATATAAATATACATATAAATATAAATATATATTTAATATAATTTTTATTATTATTTATATATTTATATATATATAAATTATTTTTTTTTTATTTATTAATATTGTTATCTTTTTATCTTTTTTCCTATATCTATATAAATTTCCTTTATTTATAATAATTTTTATTTTATTTTACTTTTTTTTATATATATATATTTTTTTTTTCATAATTTCTTAATTTGATTTATTTATTTATATTTATTTTTATTCATTTTATATCTATTATCTTCATTGTTTTTTTTTATAATATTTGATTTTTTTATTATTAATACTTTTTATAATTATTTATATTTAAATTATTTAAATTTTTTTATAATATAAATTCTAATAATAATAATATTATAATTTTAATATTTATTATATAATATAGTAATTTTTATTTATAATTGATTTTTTTTTCCTATTTTTTTTCTATATTGATGTTTATATATACTATTAAATATAATTTTTTTTTAATTTAAAAACAATTTTTTTTTTTTTCATAAAAAAATGTAAAAAAATTATCTATTTGAAATAGAAATCTATATTAATTCTTTATTTATATATTATAACTATTTATAATATTTAATCTAAATAAAACGTTTATATATTTTAATAGAAGTACTACATTATATTTTTATTTTATAATAAAATATATACTAATTTTTTTATATTTTTAAAATTATAAGTTTATAAACAATTAAAATTAAAAATGATTATTAAATTATATATTTATTTTAATAAATTTCCATTTTAAAAATGGTTTTTTAATTATTTGCTTATTTAAACATTTTTATTAAAATTTTGGAAAGTATTTTTTTTTTACGAATTTTCTCATTTTATGACTTTTTACGAATTTTCAGATTATATGGCTTTTTAGGAATTTAATAAAGCAAAAAAAATTTTAATATATAAGAAAATATCAATAGTTAAATAAAATTTCATGTAAATTTTTTTTAAAAAAAAATAATAACATTAACTTTGATATAATATAATATTTTAATTAATTTTATTTGAAAAGATATATTAAGGGAAAATTGACGTATAATTAATAAAAAAATAACTTTATTTTTTAAGTGAGAAAAATTAAATTTTATATTAATTGATAACGTTGTGTAATCAGACACAATTTATATTATCTTAAAGCGATTACAATAATATTTATAATAATTATAACTAAATTTAAGGAAATTATATTCATTAGTAAGTGCATTTAAAAAATATGCAAAATTACTAAAGATATATATATAAATATATTTATATATATATAAATATATATATATATATATATATATATTAAATAATAATAATATTTGTGTTTTAATAGGATTTAGGAAATATTTTACTTATTTAAATATTAAAAGAATTAATGTTTATTTTTGATTTTGAAAGATATTGGAATAAAGAGTCTTAATATAAATATTCTTTTATTTAAAAGAAGAAAAAACAATATTTTTATTTAGATTAATTGATAAATTTAAAATAATTGAGAAAAACTAATAAATAATATATTAATTAATAATAAATATAATAATATTTATAATAAAATAAATTTATTTATTATATATATTATATATTTATATCTTAATTTAATAAAAGAATTAAAACTAAAAAAAATTATATAAATAAATATAATAATAAAAAAAAAAAAATGTTAAAAAAATTATTATTATTTACATCTTTATCTTTGGTCTTATTTTTAACTTTACTATTTTATTTTTTTACATAATAATATAAAAAAAACCAACATATTTCTGTAAAAAAAATAATTAATCCTCCTTTTAGCACTGTATACCCTTAACAGTTTACATTCTCAAATCAGTAATTTATATTAAACAACTAAACTTTTTATATGGCTGCCGGAGAAATTCATTATTCAAGAGTTCCTTCTCAATACTGGCGATCGAGAATAAAAACTATTAAAGCCTTAGGGTATATAAATGAATTAAGTATATATATATATATATATATATATATATATATATATATATATATATATATATTTTTATTAAAAAATAAAGGTTTAAATACTCTCAGTGTATATATAATGTGGAATTTCCATGAAACAGCCCCTGGAGTTTTCGATTTCTTATCTCCAGATAAGAACTTAAGGTAATTTTTGTAAATCGCAAAAGAAGAATAAATGTATGTTATAATCCGACCTGGTCCATATGTGTGTGCTGAATGGGATTTCGGAGGTCAACCTTATTGGTTATTAAAGGATGAAACTATTTAATTACGTACTACTGATAGTAAGTATTTGAATGCGATATCGTAATACATAAATAAAGTTTCTTAAGAAATAAGTGATTACTAGATTACTAGAAACGGGACTGTCCTTATGCTTCAACTTGAAAATGAATACGGGTCATATGGCTCTAATAATACTCTTCCTTTAAAACTATAAGAAATGTGGGTAAATACAGGAAACATAAAAATCCCTTATTACTCAGCTGATGGAGGAAGTCTTATTAAAGTAGGACATGTACCAGGAGCTGCTATAGGACTTAACCCAGGAACAGATAAGAAATGGTATGATTTTGCACATTAATTAGATAATAATGTACCTGTTATGAGTTCGGAAACATATTCAGGGTAAATATATATATATATATGATATGTGTGTACATTTTAATTCATTTAAAATAGATGGTTGACACTTTGGGGAAATGATTGGGCTGGATAAGATACTAAAACCACAGTAAATGTATTCGAGAATATCATTTAGAACAACTGGTCATTTTCAATGTATATGGTGTATGGAGGAAGTAATTTTGGATTAAATGCAGGAGCAAGTAATAATGGATATGACTCTTAATTTATACCTGATATTACTTCGTATGATTATGATGCTCCAATTAATGAATAAGGGTATCCTACTGAAAAATACATGGCTTTAAGAAGTATGTTTCAGAAATACTTTGATTGGGAGTTTCCTGAAATACCTGATATAGTTAATACTATTAGCATTTAATAATTTTAACCTAATAAAACTTTCTCTTTATTAGATCTTTTGGATAACACTTAAAAGCTGGTATTTGATAGTCCATAAAGATTTGAAAAACTAGACTAAAATTAAGGAATAATTGCTTATAATTTCAATTTAAACTTATAATAGGGCAAAAATATACTCAAATTTGATAAAATAAGGGATTTTGCAAAAGTCTATTTAAATAAATAACTTTTAGGAACTATTAGTAGAAAAGATAACTAAAAAAGTGTTACTTTTGATTATAAAGAATCTTAATATTTAAATATTACAATAACTGTTATTGTAGAGGCTTATGGACATGTCAATTATGGATATAATTTATATGATCCTAAAGGGATTATTGGAAATGTTTATATTAATGATTAGATAGTTTAAGGATAGGTTATTCATTAAAAAGTTCCTTTGGAAAATACACCTAATTTCTAAAAAAATAGTCTAAATAATAGTGAAGGTATTGAAACTTTCTTTTAAGGAAATTTCGATGTTTAATAAATAGGAGATACTTATTTAAATATGAAAAATTGGTCTAGAGGTTATGTTTGGGTAAATGGATTTAATTTAGGAAGATATTGGAATATAGGACCTTAATTTAAGCTTTTTTGTCCTTCAACTATTTTAAAGGAGAAAAATAATACTATTGTAGTTTTTGATTTAGATAGGAATTAAACTAGTAGTATTATTGGTGAGAAAACATTAAAATGAGATAAACAAATATTATTATTTTATAATATAAGTATTTTTATATTTTAAAAAAAAATAAATAAATTATAAATAATTTTTTTTTTTTTAAGTTATACTAAAAAAAATATTTAATTAAATTAAAAAAAATATAAAAGAAAAAAAAAAAAAAACAATTAAAATAAAATAAAATGTATTACCAAAATAAATTTGAATAATCACCTTCTTAAGAAAATTTTTAATTGTCTAATGCCGGAAATTAGAATTAATAATAAAATTATATAATATAAAGTAAACAAAAAAAAGTAATTTATAATAATTTATATAAAAAAAAAGATAAAGAATCAAGAATGTAAACACCACCACCAAATTCATAAATAAAAATACAGCCAACAACAATATAAGGATCAGGCTATAAAATGATAAATAATAATTAATTAGGTTAATAAATTAAAATAACATAAGCGACGAATAGTATAATTAAAAATGATTTTAATAAAAAATTAAAATAAGAAAATGATATTATTTAAGATAAAATATTTTAATTAGAATAACGTTAAAAAGCGTAAACATTCGAAAATACAAAAAATTTAATAGATTCAACATCATTTATACAAAATGTAAAAAAAATAAATTAAAAAAACATAATTATAAATATTAATAAATAAATAAAAAAATTATAAATAAATAAATATGTATATATATTTATTTATAAATATATATAAATATATATAAATAATATATAATTCATTTTAATTTATTTATAAAAATATATTTTTTATATTTTTTTTTTTATATATAACAGAATTATAAAAAATATAAAGAATTGCTTAATGAATTATATGAAAACAAAACCAATTATTTATAATAAAAAAACTTAATTAAAAACTTGAAAGAATAAATAGAATAATAAAAATAATTAAAAAATACTTAAGGAAGTGCGTAAAATGCAATAGAAATTTAAGAATAATAAAAAATTAACAATTAAATAAAGATATGGAAATTAAAAATAAGTATGTTTAAGAACTTAAATATAAAAAGTAATTACTTGAAAGCGAAATGTTAAATTAAAATTAAATTTAACAACAAGTTGATAAAACTTTCACTAGTCCTTAAGAAAAAAAATAAATGTAAGATAATCTAAAAGTTCTATAAAATAAAATTTAAGAATTAACGTAATAATTAGATGAGCATGATAGTAAAAATGTTAATTATTAATAATAAACTAACAAAAAAAACTTTTTTTAAGAATATGATAAAATGTGTAGAGAAGTAATATTTAAAAAAAAAAATTGTATTTATATATATATATATATATATATATATATATATATATAAATTTTAATATATATTATATAATATATTTGTTAATATATATAATATTTTTTATTTATACTTATATATTTAAACATAAATATTAATATAAATATAAATATATATTTTTTTTATTTTTATATATATCTATAGGTAGCTGTTTTAAGATAATAAAATTAAATTTAAAATGAATGTTTAAAAGAAAAAATTTATGAAATTTCAAAGATTTAAGGGAAAGAACCTCCATAAAATTTCTAATAAATTTAATAAATAGTTAAATGAATTATTGATATTATTATTTTTTATTAAAAAAAAGAAAAATTTTTTATATTGTATTTTTATTATTTTTTTTATTAAAAAATATAATATTTTTTTTTTTAAGTTTTTTTTTTTTTAATAATTTATTTTTTAAAAATTAAAAAAAAAGAAATATGTAAAATTATATAAAATAAACAAATCTTTTAGATTTTTAGGACAAAGATTTAAAACTTTAATATTTCAAATGTATTTTAAATAATAATATTTTATTTAAATTTGAATTATTTAATAAAACTAAAAAAGAAGTTAAAAATACAGAACTAGAAGAATTAGAATAGGAAGAATAATATTTAAATAAAATAAGAGAAGAAAGAAAATAAGTAATTTTTTTAAAAAAATAAAGACCAATTATATATATATATATATATATATATATATATTTATATATTTATATATAGATTGAATAAATTCAAAAGAATTTGAATAAATAAAACCATATATATGATCTTGAAGAGCAACTTGAAAATATAAAAATACAAGCCATATCATGATAATATTAAAATATAAAAGAAATACTAGAGTAAAGTTTAGCAAAAGTATAATTTTATATATATATATATATATATATATATATAATAACTTATATATATATATAACAATAATAGTTTAGAAGAAAAAGAAAACGAAAATTCTTTTTTATAAAATTAAGTAAAAAGTTTAAAAAAGAAAAATAAGATTAATCGAATTAATTATTGATTTTAAATGAAAAATTTGAAGTTTTATAAACATAATTTTAAAATATTAAAAACTCAAACTTAAAAGAATAATAAATAAAAGAATAATAATTATAGAAAGAATTATAAACAAAACTACATATAGAAAATATGCAAAAAGGTTCTATTTTTTTTTCCTTTATTAAAAATAAAAAAATATATATAGAAGAACTAGCTTAATTACATTCCAAAAATGAAGAATAATTATTTATTATTAAAAAAATAAAAGACGAAAACCATAATTTATTATAGAAAATCGACATATATGAATAAAAACTTGAACAAAGTTAGCAAAAAGTAATTAAAAATACATAAATATATATATTATATATATATTATTTTTATATTTATTATAATATAATATGTATTTTATTTATATCTTTATTTTCATTTTTATATTTATTTTTATACACATTTTTTTATATTCATTTTATATACATTATTATGTGCATATTAATATGTATTTTATTTATATTTTAATATATATATTTTATAAATATTTTTATATATATATATTTTATATACATATATTATATATATTTTTAATATATATTTTTTATATATATATTATATTAATCTTTATATCTAATTTTTTTGTCCTTTAGATGTCAGAATTCTTATAATAAATGGAAAAGTAAAAAGAACAGAATTTGTACTTAAATTAATAAATTGAAAAATAATAAATTGATCTTTTAGAATAATATGAAATTCAGAAATAATTATAGACTTAAGCAAGCATTTTAAGTTTTTTTTTTTTTTTATTTATTTAACAAAAAAAAATATTATAAATAAAAAATAGAAAGATAAGAAATATTATTTGAAGAATATAAAACTTCTAAAATTGAAGATGATTAGAGAATGTAATTTTTATAGGAAGAATTAGAAATAAAAGAAAGGGAATTTATTCGTTCTAAATAATTAAATTAGTATTTAATTTCATATATACTTTTAATTTTTTTATATAATTAAAGAAAAATCTCATAAGAATATGATAATGCAGTTTAATAAATTGGAAGTTTCGAAAAAGAATTGGCTAATTATAGAAGAGAAAATCATGACCTTAAATAAAAGCTTTAGATTTTATTTGAATAGAGTCAAAAGGATAATAAATATAGAATTGAAATCGAAAAAGTAAAATTAGGTTTAAGTAATTAGAAAAATAATGAAATTGATAAAATTAATAGTTTATTCGATAATCTTAATAATAATACTTATTATAAATAACAAAATTATTTTTGAAAATTAAAAAAAAAACTATTAAATTTTATATAAATAATTGAATTTTTTTTGTTAGAAAAAAAAAAAAAAAAAAAAAAAAAAAAATTATAAATTTAATCAAAAAAAAAATACATTAATCAAAAACAAAACAAAAAATGAAATAAATAAAACACTTTATTTATAATGAAAATGACATAATAGGCACAGGCTCATACAGTAAAGTATATAAAGGCAAAAATCTCTAAACATCCTAATAAGTAGCGATAAAATCTATCCGAAAAAACCAAATTTTAAACGATATATAATCTTCTAAAAACCTAATACGTGAAATATAAATCTAGAAGGAACTAAAAAGTGAAAATATTGTCAATTTAATAGACTTCGCAATCACTAAAAATAATTATTATATAATATTAGAATATTGTAATAAAGGAAACCTATAAGATTTTATCAAACAAAGTCAAAAAATACCAGAAAATCAGGCTAAAAAAATACTTTTGTAGATTATTAAAGGGTTAAAGGAATTAAATAGTAAAAAAATAGCACATAGAGATATAAAACCTTCTAATATACTTATAAATAAGAAAAAAGAGAAAGTTTTTTAAGTTAAAATTGCAGATTTTGGCTTTTCGTGTTTCTTTAAAGACTCTATAATGACTTCGAGAATAGGGACAGGGTTATATATGGATCCATCTATTATTTTAAATGATGAATATGTAGAAAAAATTTTCGTGTTTCTTTAAAGACTCTATAATGACTTCGAGAATAGGGACAGGGTTATATATGGATCCATCTATTATTTTAAATGATGAATATGTAAAAAATTTTTTTTTTTTTTTTTTAATAAAAAATAATTTTTTTTTTTTTTTTTTAATAAAAAATAATTTTTTTTTTTTTTTTTTTTGATAATTTAAATAAAAAGAATGAAAAATGTGATATTTGGTCATTAGGTGTACTTTATTATGAACTTTTGTATGGTAAAATGCCTTGGAATGGTCAAAACTAAGATGTTTTATTAAATAATATTCAAAATATGAATCTTATATATGATAAATAGGTTAAAGTATCTGAAATTTCTAAAGATTTATTAAGAAAAATGCTTGAAAAAAACTCTAAGAACCGTATTAGTTTCGAAGAAGTATGCAATCATGTTTTATTTTAACCCTTTTTAGTAGAATTTACAAAGGAAGAATAAAAAACACATAAAATTATAATAAAAATGTGCCAATAATATATAAAAAAAGGTGATTTTTTTTAAAAAAAGTTCGAATAAATGTAACCTTTTGGATAAATAAATGTAAAAAACTTAAAAGCTTTTTTAGATTTTATTTTCGAGTTTTAATTTAATTTTGAAGATTTCGAATTAATAAATGTGATCTTTTATATACTAAAATATAAACCTTAAAAAAAACAATTCCAGTAATATATTGTTTTTTAAGATTTTTTGAATGTCTTTGAGTGTTTGAGGGATTTTTGTGAATTTGAAAACGATAAAAGTAATAATAGTTAAAGTAAGAATAGGTTAGAAAATAGTTAAAGCAATAATAGTTTAGAAAATAGTTAAAGCAATAATAGTTTAGAAAAAAATAGAAATAATTAATTAGAAAAAGCTGAAAATTATTGTTAATTGGAAAGTGCTAGTTTAGAAAATAGTTAAAGAATTAATAGTTTAGAAAATAATAGAAATTATTAATTAAAAAGGGGTTTATAAAATTATTAATTATAATTATAAAATGGTAAAAGTTACAGTTTAAAAAATAGTAAAAATTATTAATTAGAAAATCGTAAAAATTATAAATTAAAAAATAGTAAAAGTTTAAAAAACAGAAAAAATGATTTATTATAATAAAAAGGTAAAAAAGATTAATTATAATAAAATGGCAATAATGATTAATTATAATAAAATGGTAAAAACGATTAATTATAGAAAAATGATTAATTATATTATTGTAAAAATGATTAATTATAAAAGAGTATAAATGATTTATTATAAAATGATGAAAGTAGTAGTTTACAATTATCAAAAACGAAAAGTCTTAAAAATATTTAAAAAGAAGATAAAATAAAAATTTTAAATGAAAAAAATAATGTTTCATCATCTAAACAAAAAGATTAATTTTTAAAAAATAAAAAAATTTAAAATGAAAATATTTTCTATAATACGCTATAATAAGAAAATATATAAAAATAAAATAATAAAAAATAAATTAATAATTATTAATAAGTAATTAAAGATTATTAAAATAAAGAAAATTGGGAAATTTAAAAAAGTGAAATTAGTAAAATTATTGGGACTAGTGAAAATCATTTAAGATTTAAAGTATTTTTGGAAGAAAATCTAAATATTTTTAATTGAATATAAATATATATATATATATATTATATATATATATATATATATCATTTTCCTTTATTAAATATACTAGTATGCATATTTCTTTTATTAAATAAAAAATATATCATTCTAAATAATAAATATCATTATATATATAATTAGATTCGCTGTATAAATATTTAGCAATATGGTTTTAAAATGCTTACGCTTTTAATATTTAATTATATTTTTATTTAAAAAAATCTATTACTAATTCTCCTTCTTGTCCTACTAAATTACTTTTTTAATTAAAAATAAAAAATTAAAATAAAAATGGGGAAGGAAAATGAAAAAAAATATATATATATATATATAATATATAATTTTATTCTGTAGTTTTTTTTAAAATAAATCAATAAAAAATAAGAAGAAATTATTATAAATTATTCTTTTTTTTAGTTGATTAAATATTTAATATAAAATATAGACATTAAAAATAAATAATAGATAAGTAATACTTAGGAACTAATTAAATATCATATAATACATCATTTTAATATATATTACAAAAAAAATAACTTTTATTTGCATCCTAAAATTAATTACCACTAAAATAAAATATATAAAAATAATATAAATTTATATAAAAAAATAATTTAACTTAAAGTTCATATAAAGTTTTTGTAAATTTCTATTAAAAGAAAGACAATTATAAAATTAATTTACATAATTAACTTCAATATTATTATTTTCTAAATTAACATATAAAAAATTAATAGAACCAGAATGCATTAAAAAATTCTTAAAATAAATAGCTACATTATTTCCGATATTATTATTTCTTAATAAAATAAAAATATGTATAAATATATAAATATATAAATATATATAAATATATAAATATATAAATATATAAATATATAAATATTTAAATTTCTATTTATATAGGTTTATATTTTTATAAATATTAAAATATTTAAATTTTTTAATTTACGCCAAATTAACTGACAATTCTTACATATAATTGCATTTATATAAAGAATTTAAAAAATTAGCACCATTTTTTTAAAGTTTATTATTAGAAAAATTTACATCCAATTTTTTTAAGTTTATCATCATTTTACAGCATATATCGAAAATTTAAATAAACGAATCATCAAGTAAATTATAACTTATATATTTTATTTTTATAAAAATTTTGTATTTATTAATATTACCTTAAATCAAGTACTAATTCTTATAAATCATACATTTCTAAAATTTAAATTGGTAATTATTCTATTTTTTCTTATGTTACTTAATAATTAGAAAATTTTATTGAAAGTTTCTTCAATTTATTTTAATATTTTAAAAATTAAGATATATAATTTATTGAAACACTATTTAATATATTTTCACTTTTTTTTTTTTATATAATTTAAATTAATATTTTTTTTATTTCATTTAAAATAAACTTTAGATTAATAGAAAATTCTTTAAAACTTTATTAATTATCACATAAAGTTTCACAAAAATTATAAATTCCTTTATTATTGATAATATTATTTGATAAATTTAGATTTAAGTATTCTAATTTTATCATTTTTGAAATATGAAAGGCCAATATAGTAAAATTTTTACCATCAATATCATTATAATTTAATTTAAGAGTTAATGATTTTAATTAAGACAGACTATTAATATAATTCCATAAAAAGAAAAAGCTTTCATTTAATTATTTATTTGAACTAATATAAAAAAATATATAAAAAAATTTAAACACATATATGAAAAGTATATATATATATATATATATATACGATATATTTAGAGATAAATCAGTAATGTTTTTTATATTTATTTTCATTAGATTATTTATATAAAACTCTAAATTTTAATTATTCAAGTTAGTTTTTTATAAATTGATTTTTATATAATTTAAAAAGTTTAAACTGCCGTAAAATTCAGAAAATTATTAAAGTATATCTTTACTTAAAAATTAACAATAACTTTTTTTTTTTTGAAATAATATATTTATTTTTATACCTTAAATCCAATTTTAATTATTATAAATATAAAATACCTTATATCATTTATTTTAATTATTAAAATATATAATCTCCTTCAGTTATTTATACATTATCAAAAATAATTGTTACTTTATTAATTAATAATTTGTTACTTTCATATATTTATACTATATCATTCAAATTTTAGTTAATATTTTTAATTTAAACATATATTTTAAGTTTTTTTTAATCAATCTTAGCTATATTTGGATACTTATGAATATATATGATTTATTTATTTTATATTTTTATTACTCTCTCTAATTAAAATTATAAAAACAATTATCTATTTAATTATCATAAAAACAAGATTAAATTATATTATCATTTTATAATGAATTTTATTTTATTTTTCTTTATTCTAAATTTTATAATATCATTTTTTAAATATTATTAATTTTAAATAAGTTAGTTAATATTTAATATAAATATATATATATATATATATATATATTATTTAAATATATTTAATTTAATTTAAATATAGATTTAAATGTTTTTATATCAATATGGTTTTATTACTATGTATTATTTTATATTATTTTTTTTAATATTTATGTTTAATCTATGGTAAATGTGTTAATTAATATGTTTTGTAAGCAATATATTTATTTTATTTTTTATATTTTCTTCTATAATAAATAAAATGAAAAAAATGCTATATTTAAAATATAATTTATATAATTTAAATTTAAATTTATTTAATAATAAATTAATTTTATTATTATTATTAATTATTTATAGAATTCAATATTCCTTTCCTATATTTAGATTATTTGTTGCAAATTTATCATTTGATTTCAATTATAATAATTATTTTATAGCTATATAAACTACTGGAATTAAAATTGTAAAAATCAATAGAAAAGCAAATAGTGTTTCAGGTAATATTTATACCATTGATATTTTATATTAATTTGGTTAATTTGTTAATATACGAACATTTTATGAATTTTCTTATGAATTTTTTAATATTGAAATAAAACAAAGATTGAAACTTTTTAGTTTAAATATTATTTAATAGTGTTATGAAATTTTAAATAATCTTCCATTATTAAATTATGAATATATAATTTATTATGGGTTCCCTTTTATATATTAATATAATTTAAATAATATTAAGTATATAATATTTATAATTATATAAATATATATATATATATATATATATATATATATATATATATACAAATATATATATATTTTTACTTTTTTTAATTAATCTATTAATTTATCACTTTCATAATTTAAAACTGCTGTAAAAGAATTCTTTTTATTAAAAAGTATCTATATTTATATATTTTATTTATTTATGCGTAATTAAACATATATTTTTTACATTAAATATTTCATTTTTATAATAATATTTTCTTATAAATTATATTGTACTCAAAAATTTTTATTCATAACAGTATAAATTAAAGACAATTGTGAATTATTAATTTTTTGTTGTCTGTTGTTAAAAATATTTTATTAAATTTTAAATTAATAATTTTTTAAATTTTTAAAATAAGAACTTATAAAGAATTTAAATATTTTTGTAATAACTATTCTTTGTTTAAATATAAATCTTCGGTAGATTTAATTATACTTTTTTATTATTTAAATAATAAAAATATAAATATATATATAAATAAATATATAAATATATAAATAAATAATATATTTAAATATTTTTATATACATCATATTTATATATTAATACTTTTATTATTTAATTTTGTAAATACATTTTTACATTCATTTTTTTACTTTTATATTTTTTTTACATGTATATTTTTTTTAAAAAAGTTATAGAATATAAAAACAAGTTATACATTTTATATATTTATAATATTAAATTTTTTTTATATTTAATTTTAAATTTAGAAAATAATCTATAAATAAATTTATATATGTTTTATTTATATATACCCATTAAAAGATGTGAATATAAATGGCATTACATTTTCTTCTTCATATTATTAATTTTAGATAGATAAAATAAATAAACATACAAAAATTAAAATATTAAAATATTTATTCATTTTTTTTTTAAAAAAAATAAAAAATATTTAAATTTTTATATTTTTAAAAAAATAAACATTTAATTTTATATTATTTTTTTAAAAAAAAAAACATTAAAAACACATTTTATAATATTAAATAAATATAAAATTAATTTAAAATAAAATATTTATACAATTATAAATATAAAAAAAAAATCATTAAAACTTATATTTTTAAATATATATATATATATATTATATATATTTGTTTTAATTTATTAATCAAACAATAATTTAAATAAAATATGAATATATTAAAAAGGCATTTATGTTTAAATTATATAATAAAAAAGTATTTTTCTATAGCATCTCCTCCTATAGAAGCTTAATAAAACATTTTCGATTTTACATCAAAACACATTATAAGTGAAGAACAAATAAAAAACGATTAAAAATTATAATAATTATGTGAAAAATATGAAAAAGAATGGACTTAAAAATACTTAGAAACAAAGCAAAAGGAAATAGAAGAAGTAAAAAAAAGGCTTTCTTAAAAACAATAATAATATGTAGAATTTTTAGCAGAAGAATTATTAAATATGGATAAAGAGATTAGAATAAAAATCTTGACAAATTTAAATATAAAAATATAAAAAATTACAAATATTTCGATTGTAAACGTGAATACTGATTGGCCGATTTTTAAATAATACTGTTAATATTTTTTATTAATATATATATATATATATCTATATTATTAAATTAGAATTAGATCAATAATAATAATTTTTATAAGATAATTGGCATAAAAATATAGGTATTTCTAATTTTTTATAAGGATTCGGATAAAATAATTAATAATAATAAAATTCTAGTTAATAAGAATAACCTAAGACATAAAAAGAGGAATAAGTATAAGTAAAAGATGTAAAAATTAAATAAATAAATAAAAATTAAAATATATATATATATATGTATCTGTATATATATATATATATATATATATATATATATTAATATAGAAAACTAATTTTGATGTTGAATTAGCATCTATAGATCCAAATTAAAAAATAAAAATTATTAAAGAGGTAAGAACTATACTTGGTTTAGGGTTAAAAGATGCTAAAGATATTGTAGAAAAATCGCCGGTTATTTTAAAATAATAATTAAAGAAATAAGAAGCAGAAGAAATTAAAGAAAAATTAAGTTAAATTGGATGTATAATAAATTTATTATGAGTATTATTATTATAAAATAAAATAAAAATATATAATAAATAAATATATATTTTATTTTTGGATAAATTAAAAAGATTTTTATTTAAAAAAAATAAATAATAATAAAAGATTTAAATATATTAACAAAATAAATAAATAATTATACATATAGATATATATATATATTTGTATATATATATATATATATATATATATATATATTTTTTATCAATTTTTTAAAATAATATTCCATTATTAATAATAATATACAATATTTTATAATATATATTAAAAATATAAATAATATATAAATTATTATATATAAAATAAATATTATTATTTATTATTATTCTTATTTATTTTATTTTTTTTATTTATAAATTGTAAAAATTATTCTTGATTTGTTTTTTTATTTATAAAAAATAAAAAAAAATTGCAAGTAATAATTTCTATATTATTTTTTGCAGTTATCTTCATGAAAAAATGAATAAAAAAAAACCATTTTACCATGCTTTTTACTGCATTTTTAATATTTTTTTTTTTTTTTTTTTTTTTATTAAAAATATTTCTATTTAATTATTTTTTTCTTTTTCTTTTTCTTTTTTTTATATTATTTTTAAATAGATTTAATTTTATACTTATATTAAAAATAATTTTTTTTTATTAAATAAAAATAAAATACTATAAATATATATTTTAATATAAATAAAAAAAAAAAAAGATACTTATATAAATTCTAATATATATTTCTAAAAAACATTTATTTTCCTTGCAAAAAATAATCAACATCTTCAAACCATATCTTTTCTCTTCAAAAATTCACTATAAAATCTTCTTATTTATATATATATATTATCTCCTTAAATATTTTATAATATCATTATGCCCAAAAAGACAGCACATATGAGGAAAAAAGACTATAAAAATTTTAAAAAACTATAATAATTACGACATATGTTGTTCCAAAATAAAATTGGGACTATATTTAAATCCGTAAAATAATGAAGATGATCAAGAATAATAAAAAAGATATTAAAAATATGGAATAAAAGTAAAATATAAAAAAATAAAAGATAATAATTGTATTTTTATTCTTTAAAAAAAAAAATTGGTTTTTTGTTTTTGTTTTTGATTTTGATATTTTCTCCCATTAAAAAAAATAAAGGAATTTATTAGTTTTTTTTTTTTATATTAAAAAATAATTTTTTTTCATTTTTTGTAAAAAAAAAAAAAAAAAAAAAATATGTTTTTAACCTAAAAAGACCTTCTTTTAAAAGAAAGGTTTATTAATAGAAAAATATATTAAATTTATATATAAAATAAGGTTAAATACTGAAAAATAAAAAACTCTATTTTTTTTTTAAAATAAAAAAAATATCAAAACAAATATATATATTTATATATATATATATATATATATATATATATAATTTAACTTTTATAAAAAATGTAGTTAAATTCATGCTATTTACATCCCATTTTTGAAATTTCAATAGTATGTATAGATAAAAAATGCTAAGAAAACTCAAGATTTGCCTGTTTGAAATGTTTAAAACTTTTCCATTAATCACATGAACATGTTCTTTTGTAAAATTTATAATAAAATTAGGATTTAGTTAATTTAATATAGGAAATAGATACTGATTTTTAAATTCTAAATAAAGAATTTCAATAATAAATAAAAGAATAGAAAATATTTAATTAAAATTAAATTTTTAATGTTTTATAATCTTTATAAGTATATTGTTAGGAAAACTAAATAAATGAAATATAAAAAAGCCCATAAATTAATATTTATATAGAGAATAATGTACACAAACTAAAAAATGCAAACTAAAATTCTAATATAGAAGAAAATTTAAAATAAATATAAAAATCGCTTTTGAATGTAAAAAAAGAAATGAACCAATAAAAAATAAATTGATATGAGAAAATATACATATAAGTATATATATATATATATATATATATATATGTATATATAAAAATTTTTATATATATATGTATATATATGTATTTATATATTTATATATTAGACTTTTTTTCAATTATTTTATATTTCTTCTTCATCTTCTGATTCTTCTTAGACATTTTCTACTAACTCAATGTTTTATTTTTAGTTATTTATTATTTCGTTTTCTATTTAATATATAGAAATATTTCGTTATTATTATTTTTATAAAAATAAATACAAGTTTCTATGTTTTTAAATTTAGTTTCGCTTTCTTATATTCTTTCATTTTCTTAACTTACTAATTTATTATTGACTATACTTGAAAAACATAGATCAGACACGCTTTTTCTTATCTTTTCTCTAACACTTTGTTCTTATATTGCCATAATTTTGCTTTCCATTTAAAACATGCAAGATTATATTATATGTTTTTCATTATTTGATATACATATATTTTTTATATGTGTATTTTATTAATTTTCATCTATATATAATACCAAAGCTCCTATCATACATTCTAAATGTAAGGAAGTGGGAATTTATTGATTCAAATCTGTAAAACAAATAGATTATATATCTAATGAATCAGCAAGAGATAATCTTTAAAGAATACATATATATAAATATATATATATATATATATATATATATATATATATAATATATAAATATATATATATATATATTTAATACATTTGTTTATATATTTCATATAATTTCGTTTGTAATTCTTATATATTAGTATTTATAGTATATGGCGGCAAAGCTGCGTGTATTATATGTTTATGTCTTATTTATCCTTCATTTATTGTATATGAAACATCTCCTATTTCCACTTTTTTTTTTTTTTTGAATATATAATTACAATTATTACATTATTTCTAATTTTTTATTTCTTAGAAGTTTCTTACATATTATATATTTTTTTAAAATAGTTTTTTTATATAAATAAAAACTTTGCTTTATTAACTATTGGAGAATTTGTGAATGGAGATTAATGAGCATTTACTTAATTAATTTATATTTTTTTTATATATACTTTTTATATAAAATACCTATTGCATCAGTTTATATATATTAATATAATCCTTAAATTACTTAAAATTTAGTTTAATAAATTATATTTTGCTAAAAAATTTAAATTGTATTATTTTCTTAAATATTTTCTTCTCTTTAATTTGAACACAAAACTATTTTTTTATTTATATCAACTTTTTTAATAGTTTTTACTTTTTTTTTTTACTTCCCATTATATAATTTCTTGTAAAAATTTTAATTAAAAATTAATATATATAAATATAGATAAAAATATATAAAAATAATTAAATATATATATATATATATATATATATATATATATATATATATATATATATATATTTATAAATTAAAATCTTATACATACTTTAATAATTTTAGAATTTTAAATAAATTATTTTATAAAGTTTTTAATGCTTTTTATTTATTATTATTTTTATTATTTTTTTTATTATTACAAATTATATTTTAATTATATCAATTATATTATATATTATTTTTTTTTTTTATTTTATTTTATTTTATTTTAAAATCTCAATCTAATATAAATAAAAGACTAAAAATTTTTATTTTTATTTTATTTTTTTTCATTAATTTATTTACAAATACTTAAAATATATATACATTTAACATAATATAATTATATTTTTTTAATTAGTTTAAAATTTATGTACTGTTAAAATTAAAAAATATTACATCTCTTAACAAAATATAAAAAATAAAATAATAATCTTAAATAAATTAAAATGGATCTATATGAAATATAATAAATTAAAAAAATAAGATATATAGACGGTAAACTACAATTCTTTATAAAATGGAAAGGATGGCATGAAAAGCATAATACATGGGAACCATTTGAGAACCTAAAAAATTGTACTTGGGCAATTCAATAATATAGTGAAAATAATAAAATAAATGCACGAGCAAATACAAAAGCATGGGTAGAATTATAGAATATTTTAGACTAAATAAATAGAGAAGAATTAGTTAAAATTTAAGATAGAAAAAACATAAAATATAATAAAAATAAAACACTAAATTATAAAAATAAATGACATAGGATACTAATAACCCTTTTCTATCATAAATTACTGATAAAATATGCAATATATAATAAGGAAGTTTATTAATTAAAGATATTCCATTAAAAATAGTCGATATTTAAAAAAATCCTAATGATCCTGAGGATTTTATATATGAAGTTTCGTGGTCTGTAAGAAAAAATAAAGAATAGCCACTTAATACTTGGGTTCCTGGAAGAGAATTAAAACCCAAATATCCAGATATTATATTTAAATATTATGAATAATTAATAGTATTTTAATGAATATAAGTTTTTATAATGATTTTTTAAATAAAAAAGTAAAAATTCATTATAATTATATTTTAAATAAAAACATAAATAAAATGATATGTAATTTTATATATATTATTATTTTTAAAAATAAAAATATCTTATTCAATATTATTTAATATTAATATATATTAGAGGATAAATTTATATAAATATATATTAAAATAATTATTATAAAATTATATAAAAAAAAAAAAAATTATATTTATATTAATTATAAAATTTAAAATATTTATATATATTACTTTTATTTTTAAATAAAAATATTCATAATATTTATGTTAAATTAAATATTATAAATATAAAATTATTTAAATAAAATATCTGAAATATTATTATAACATTATTAGATTTTATTAAAAAAAATATTGATAGTATAATATTATTATATACTAAAATATACATAAAAAATTATTTATATTGAAAAATTATGATTATTATAATTATTAATTCATTTTTAAGATTATAAAATTAATTTAATTTAGTAAAAATTATATATAAAAATTATTATATTTTTTTTAAATATAAAATTTAAAATTATTTTTATTTTCATTATTATTATTATTATTATAATTATTATTATTATTATTAATATTATTTTTTATAAAAATTTATTTATTATATATATTTTTATTATTATTATTTATTTTTAATTAAAATTTATTTTATTTATATAAAAATAATATTTATTTTAATATTTATATTTATAGTAATTTTTGTTTAATACATATTTTTTAATATTTTTTTATTTTTTAAAATATAAATATATTGTATATTAGCTATGTTCAATTACTAATATTTTTTGAAAATAACTGTTAATTTTTATAAATTTATTATATTATTAATATGTTTTAATATAATAAATTACATAAAATTTATTAATTTAAAAATTATATAATTATTATATAATATATTTTAAACATAAAATTATTATAAAGCAAAAAATAAATAAATTAAAATAATTATATTATTAATTAAAATTAAAATTTATAAATAAATATAATAAAATTATATATTTTATATCTCATTAAATTTTATTTTCTTCATTTACTATATCAAAGATATTACTTGAATTTTTTCTATCATTAAATTTTTTTTTTCCACCTACAAACTCTATTCCAACTGGAAATTTAGTTTAGTAAAAAATTTTCTAACTTCTATTATTATTATTATTATTATTATTATTATTATTATTATTATTATTATTATTATTATTATTATTATCTGAAAATTACGAATTACTGTTAAATTATTATTTTTTTTTCATACAAGGCATTATATTAGAATTATTATTATAACTCTATTTTTTTTAATTTCTTGTTTTTTTTTAAATTTCTTCTAATATAAAATTTTCTTTTTTATTTTCAAATTAATTTATTTCTTAAATTTAACTTAATTCATCTTCTGATTCTAATTTTTAAATAGTTTTTTATCTTCTAATTTTTTCTTATTATTCTAAACAATATATATATATATATATATATATATATATATATATATATATATATTATATATATATATTTATATTAACATTAATAATTATTTATAAATTTAAATAAATAAATATATTTTAAATTTGTTTTTTTTCAATTATTTATAATTATACAATATAATTTATTATTAATTACTAAAAAAATTATATAAGGTTTGTAAAAATTCTATTTAAAAAATAAAAAATTAAATATTTATAAGTTAAATATAAATATGTTATATTTATTATTATATATATATTTCTTTTATTAATACATTATCTTAATAATTCAAATTATTTTTCTTAAAATATTATTTATTTATTTTCTCCTTAAAAAAAATCTTAACTTTTTGTTTTTATTTTATTTAAATATTATTAATTTTCACCTATAATTTTTTATTATTGTAATAACCTTGTTTATACAAAATTTATATTATTATATTAAAATTAACTATTTATTTATATTATTAATTCGTAAAATGTTTATAATAATGCTTTTAAGGCTTCTGAGTAAATTTTATTTTTTATATTTTTTCTAAAAATATTTATCGAAGTTGCTTTTTGAATGAATATTTCACTTAATTTTTAAGACTTTTCAACTTCTTTTAAAAATTTGTCGCTTATTTAAATAATTTATTAATGATTTTTATCAACTTTTTCTTTTGAAGATGTACTTGACGATGATGAAAAGTTACTAGTAAAAGATATGTTTTAATTTTTTTCAGAAATTGTATTATTTGAAGATTCTGATATTTTTCGTTCCTTTTTTGGACATTACGAGTTTTAAATTTTTTTCTTTTTTAAGTTTTAATATATATTTTTTTTATAAAAATTTACATTAAGCGAATTTATATGATCTTTTAATGAATTTATTTAAAAATTTAAGATATTATTATGATTTTCTTTTTACTTTTTTATTTTTTTTTATATATTTTATTTTTTATTCATTTTTGTACAAAAAATCTTATTAAGAAAAATTTTTCATTAAAAACTAAATATTTATTTATGAAAATATCTAGAAAATTAAAAACTTTTAAAAAAATAATAATATAATAACAAAAAAAATATAATTATATAGAAAAAAAAAAAAATATATATATATATATATATATTTATATATATTTATATATATATATTATTTTAAATATTTTTTTTATTTCAATTTATTTTTCAATAAATTTTTAATATTATTTTTTATATTTTAAATTTTAATTTTTTTTAATTAATTTTTTATAATTACTATTTATTTTTTATATTTATTTCTTATTTTTAATTTTTTTATTTTTTTATTTGTTATTTTTTTATATAATTTTTTTTAAAATTACAATTTTAATTTAATTACCATTGTATTATATTAACATCATTGTTATAAAATATTGAATATTAAATAAATTTTTTAATTTTAATATTTACAAAAAAAAATCATAAATATATATGTATTTTATTTTATTTCAAAATATACTATTTTCATCATCTTCTTCTTATTATTCTTAAATATTTTCATTTTAATTATATTAATTTCGTCTTTTGCAATTAACAATTTCATTGCCATATTAAACAATAGATTTAAAAAATTTTATCAATGGATATGACATTTTTCCTTTTATTCCATGCTTATCAATAAATATTTATTTATCATCATCATAATAGAGTATCTTCTCATCTTAATTATTAAATTCTTAACTAAATAGAATTTTTTGGCTTTTTATTTAAAGTTCATATCTATCTGGAATTTCTTTTGAAATATTTTTTTTTAAAAATTTTAACAAAATTGAAATCATTTGAGTAATATTAAAGTTTTTAAAACCCTAAATTTTAATTTATTTAAATATTTTTTTATAAATGTAAATATATATCTATTTAGTCTTAATTTATTCCTTAATTAAAACTATTTCTTAATAATTCCCATGAATCATTAAATTTTCTTATTTTATATAAATAATAGCTTTTAACTATATTTCCAAATTAATTATTAGGATTTATTTTAAAAATCTTTTTATAATAATTTAAATAGAAAATTATATATATATATATATATATATATATTTTTAAATTTAATTATATTTTATATATATAAATATATATCATATAATAATATTTTTTTACTTCTTCTATAAATTTATTACTTAATTTAAATTCATTTATGTGTAATAAAGTTACTGCCATATTATATAGGCAAGGTATATAAATTTCTTTTTATATTTAAGGTATTTATTTATATAGATTTTTCTTAATAGATAAGGCTATATATATATATATTGATTGCTTTCAAATATTCTTCTTAATAATAATATTAATTTCCTTCAAGTTTTTAAAAATTTAGAAATTAGTAAGATTCTTCAATTGTGAAATCCTTTTTATTTAAAATATTTTTTATTTTATTTTTTTTATTTTTTACATCAACAAATTATTACTATTAATTATTTATTTTTTCACTAAAAAAATACAATAATTTACCTTATAATTAGTGATCCATTAAATATTTTATATATATTTATATATTATTTATATAATTATCTTTTTTTTAAAATTTTATTTAATTTAAAATAATATTAATTGTCAAATTATTAAAAATAAATATAATAGAATACAATATATAAAAAAGCAATAAAAAAATTTAGAAAAACAAGAAATACATTGTATTTTTATAAATAAATAAATGATTATATACATATATATTTTAATATATAAAATTAAAAGATATAATGAAAATTAGCTGTTTTTTTTGTTGTTGTTGTAAAAAAATAAATAAATATTTTCTTTACTTTTTATTATAGATATTTCTAATTTATAATTTAAAATTATTTTACAAAATATTAAAATTTGTTAATATTAATTTTAATCATATATTTAATATAATTATTTTTGAAAACTTAATATTTATTTTTTTATGAAAAAAATATTTTGTTTATAATATTCATTATATAAAAATATAAATGAAATCACTATTATAAATATATAATAATATATTTATAAATATTTTTTTATATATAAATCTATATAATTATATATATATATATATATATATTTATTATCTATATTTTCTTTTTTATTTATATATATTTTAAAATATTTATAGAAAATTTAGTTTAATTTCTTATTTTTATTTATTTTAATTAATCATATATGTATACTTATTTTAAATTCATTTTTTTTTTTTTTTATAATATTTTTCATTTTAAATTTTATATTTCATATCACTTATATTTAAATCCTTTATAAATAAATGAAGATTTATTTTATTTTTATTGTTTATTTATTTTTATTATAATTTTTTTATTTTTGCTATTTCTTTTTTTTATATTTACCGTATAAAAAGTTTTTTTTTATTTTATTTCTTTATTATTATATACATTTTATTATTTGTAAAATGAATTATTTTATTTTTTATATTTTTACAATAGTATATATTTTATTTATATCAATATTATTAAGAGTAAAAATTTTAACATTATTTTAATAAGAGTTTAGAGTAAATTTTAATTAAATAAATCATTATTTAAATTAATGCAATTATAAAAAGTAATCATCCTTTAATATCTTATAATAAAATAAACTAGTTATATTAGCTAGTATACTTTTAATTATATTATATCTTGATTTTTTAGATTTTCCATTTATGATAACTATAATAAAAAAAAGAATTCTCTTTAAGTATAATAAAACAAGACTTCCCTTTAAATATAATAAAGCCCAATTCCTCTTTAAGTATAATAAAACACGAATCATCTTTATGTATAATAAAGCCCAATTCCTCTTTAAGTATAATAAAGCCCAATTCCTCTTAATGTATAATAAAGTACAATTTTTTTTTTAAGTATAATAAAACACGAATTCCTCTTTAAATATAAAAACACTAATCCTCTTGATAGAAATTCCCTTTAAGATTTCTATTATATATATTAATTAATTTTTTTAATAATTAATATAAAATAATTGTAAAATATATAAATATTAATACGTATTTTAATAAAAACAGGCCCAAATTACAATTATTTTTAATTTTTTTTAATAAGATTTTTCTAAATATTTAATGAAGAAGTTTTTAATAAAAATAAAAAATTAAAAATTATAAAATTAATAATTTTTTTATTTTTAATGAAAAATTTATAAAATTAAAACTAAATAAAAATAAACTTTCTATATATATATCTGATTATTTTTTTAAAAAAAACATATTATATATGACAGGTAAATCTTTTATATTTTTATAGCTTAAAATGTAATTCAAATATATCTTTTTAATTAAAATTAAAATATTTAATATGAAATCGGTATTAATACTAATCGGAATTACAATGTTTATAACCTTTTTTTTTATATAATAGATAAATAATATATTAAATGTATTCTAAATTATGTATTTATGTAAAATTTAAATATTAAAATAATAATATAGATTTAATTTTATTAGATTTATAAATAATTTATACGGACTTTAAAGATTGCCTTTTTATAGTAAAAGGTTTATTTTTATTTAAAAGTTCTTAAACAAAAAATAAAGGAAATAAAAAAAAACTATATATATAATATTAATTGTATAAATAAATATATATATATATCTATATATATATATAATATATATATATATATATTTATATACTTTTATTTATCATTTAATTATTTTTAATTTATTATTAATAATTTTTATAATATTTATCGTTTAAAAACTTATCATTAATATAAATATTTCGTATTTTAATAATTTAAATATTAAAAATTTGCAAAATATCATTCTTTTTATAGTTATTTAAAAGAATGTTTACTATTATTGATTTTTATTACCTTCTTTTTAAAATAATAATTTAATTATTTAATATTAAATTATTATATAATATATTTATATATAATATAATGCTTAAAAAAAAATGGTTAATTACCTTTTGTATATATCACTATATAATTCAATATAAAAAGAATATAAATAAAAATATAAATTTAATTTTTTTTTTTAAAAAAAAAAAATACATATATATATATAAAGACTAAAAATCATATATATTTTCTATAATTTCATCAACCTTTTCTATACAATAAAATAGCCATTTATCCTTCATAAAAAAATATAAAATTTTTAGAATCATAAGATACATAGGCATTAAAATGTTTTCCTAATTAATATAATATTTTATATATAATAAAATAATAATAAAGTTAAAATTAATTACCAACTATACAATGCCAATTGGGACCATATTTTTAATCAAAAAACTTTTTTATGTGTGCAGATATTTTATTTTCAAATTTATATGTTTCGACTGCATATTTAGCCTTATTATATAAAAAAGATTTATATTTTAATATTTTCTTATTTACTTATGCTAGAGCATCGTTTTTCATACTTTTTAACTCTGAATTTTCAGGCATATCGACAATAGTTTCTTTTTATTAATCAGACATTTTAAATAAATTGTTTTTTTTTTTTTTTAATTTTAAAAAATTAATATATATATATATATATATATAAATATATATATATATATATATATATATATATATATATATATAAATAAGTTATAAAAAAAAAAAATTAAATAAAAATGTATATATATATATATAAAAGAAAAATTAATTTTATTTGTATTTTTTAAAGGATGTAAAATATATGTTAAGTTTATATTTTTAGTATAAATGAATTAATATAAACTATATTTTTTAATTTTTTTTTTTTTCATAAAATTAATAAAAAATAAATTTATTTTTAACAAAAATAATTATAATATGTTAATTGCTTTTCCTTAACTTAATATTAATATTAAAAAAAAAAAAAGGAATAAATCTCTTAACTTTAAAATTCGAATGGGATAAGGTGTTTTAACATTTAGTATGTGAAGATAATGAATATATTAATTAACTAATAAATAATTATATTGGTATTTTATTATTTTTTATATATATATTATTATATTTATTAATATATTATAGTATTTAATTGAGATTTTTGGTATTTATATTAATAAGAAATATTATATATTATACTAATTATTTATTTAAGACTTTTTTTTATTTTATAAGGGAAATTTTTATATATAAATAATAATTATTTATAATTCATTTTTTTTTATTTTTTTTATTTTATTTTTTTCTTAAAAAAATATAATTTTTATATTCATTTTTTATTATTTAATATTGTTTCATTTTGTCAATGTTTTTAAAGGCTATATTAGTTTTTATCTATATAGACATAAATTCTTTCTATTAAGTTTAACAGTCTTTTATTCCATATGAAAAAAACAATAAATATATATTCTATACACTCTTATACTTGTAGAGGGTTTTTTATAATAAATATAATATTTAATAAAGCTTATAATAGAATATATATTTATTCTTTAATATATACACTTAATTATATTCTTTTAGATTTGTTTTTAATAGTTGAACTTTATTATTATTAAAAATTTAAAGTGATGGGAGCTTTTTTATCACTAATTGAGAGTTATATGAACTTATTATTGGGTAAAATAAATTAGTATTATCAAATTAAGTATTTTAATTAATATAAGTTATTGATAGTTAATAAATTTTAAGAATTATAGTTTAATGTTATATATGTGTTTTCTTTTCTTATATAAAATATTATTTCAATTTTATAATATTAAATTAATAGTAAAAAAGTGTAAAATTTAATAAATAATACATAATTCTAATATAAAATATATATTTAATTAATATTCATTTTTTTTTCTTCTTTTTTCCTTTTTTCTTCTTCTTTTTTTTCTTTAATTTAAACTTTCTTTTTTTAGTAACTTTTTTAAATTCTGCTTTAATCTCATAAGAAATATGATCTTATAAAGGAACTCTTTTAATAATTTTGTACATTTTAGTGCATTCGAGTAGTTTTTTAGCACCTAATTCGATAAACGAAATAAATAAAATAAAAAAGATAAATAAAAAAATGAATATGTATATATAAATAAATATATATATTTAATTATAAGAAAATATATATATATATATATATATAAATATATATATATATATATATATTATTTATGTATATAAATAAAATTATACCCTCGTCGTATATCCCGTTTTAGTCTAAATCATAAATTTATAAAGAGTTATTTTTCATCATTACTTCGCAAATTTTTTCAATGACTGGAATTTCTTCGCTTTCTCCAAACTGATTGTTTGCCACTATTAATTTTTAAAGGGCCTGATTGTATTCCAAAGATCTAAAAAGTTGATAAATTCCTTCGTTTCTTAAAAAATTTCCTCTTAATTTTAAACTCCATAATTAGCTTTCCACATAAGCCAAAATCTATTACAAATATTTTACACCATACGAATCTATATTACAGTAATTTAAAGAAAGTCTCATTATATAAGGATTCATGGAAAGTCCTTTTGCAAGAAGACCTAAACCTTTAGTTCCTATATTATTAAAATCCAGTTTTAATTTTTAAATTTAAACAAATTCGGTATTTCCCACTGATTTTCCTAAATATTCACAACCTAAATTTATATAAAAAATATAAATTCATATATATATACATATATATATATATATATATATATATATATATTTACCCTAATACCCAATCAAATTATGCGGTAAATTTAAAAATTTAACACCTCTTCCTTTTTCCATATAATTACAAATGTATTAAACAGCCTCATCTTGGCATTCTGCTTTTACTAATTTAAGACTTTGTATATGTTTATATTTTAAATCTATTAAAGATTCCATTATTGCGCGAACATCTAAAGATGATAAAGGTTCTAGTGTATGTAACTGTGTTTTTTTATATTTAAATTATTTTTTAATTTATTGTAGTTTTACTTTTTTTAAATGATCTTAATCGTCTATAGCTTATTCTACCTTTTCACGGAAAAAACGGTTTTATGACACTCCTAAAGATTCGCATTTACGACGATATATTCGGGGAAGATTTACTGTGGATTCATCCTCTTCTTCGGGCTTTTTTTTCTTTTTATCTTTTCCTCCTTTTTTGGACATTTTTTATTTATTTTTTTATGAAACTACTTATATATATAAATATAAGTAAATGTTTTTTTTGATTGTTTTTTTTTTATTGGGATTTAATTAAATAATTTATTTGATTTTAATATAAATAATTATATATATAGATATATATATATATATATATATATAATATATATATATATATATATATATATATATATATATATATTTAATTATTTTTTATTTATTTATATATTTATTTATTTGCTTGTTTGTTTCATAATATGTTTTCATTTTCTCTTGATTTTCTTTTAATATTGTCGAATTTTAAGATTATTTTGAGAATCTTAAGGTCAAAATAAAATAAAGATATGAAAATTGTGTTTAAAATAAATAAGAAATATTGCATAAAAGATCTATTTTCATATTTAAAAATGCTATTATTTTACAAATTTTCCATAAAAAAATCTATAAATATAAAAAAAATAAATGTTTTGTTTTTTGTAAAATACATATTATAATTGAAACTGTATTAAAAAAGAACAAAAGAATTTTAAATTCATAAAAATAAACTATATTAAATAGTTAAGGAGTTAATTAAATTAAGTAATACATATAAATCAAACTATAGAAATAACCTAATAGGAAATAAGTATTTAATAGGTAATATTAATCTTTTTATATTTAAAAAAAATATATAAATATATAAATAAATATATATATATATATATATATATATATATATATATATATAATTTTGTGTTTTTACTTTATACTGGCAAAACTGAAAATAAAAATAAAAATAATTAAGATAATATTCCTATATAAAGATTTAATTTATAATAAAATTAATATATAATCTGTTGTTATGACCAAACAAGATAAACTAATATATAATTAATTATTCCCAAAAAACAAGTAATAAAATTTCCTATCTATATATATAATTTTATTACAATTAAAATTATTATATATCAAATTTATTTTTTACTTAAAATATATGTAGTTTTCTAAATGGCAAGTCTAAAAAGCTTGGCCATTTATATGTTTTATTTTCCTAACATTATGATATTATTGCATAGAAAAAACTTATAATTGTAAATATTATATATAATTATGGAAATGATTTTAAAGAATAACTATTTATGGTTTATTCATTTTTTTTTTAAATAAAAGAATTTTCTATATTTGATATTGTCTATGAATCTGAGTTTTAAAAAGAAGATGATAATATTGATTGAGACTCTTCATTATAAAATATATTAAACTTTTTGTTTTATGATAATTTAGGCTTTTTGGGTGCGTAATCCATCTTTTGTTTTTTATTTTATTTCTATTTATAATAATTGTATATTTTGTTTGTTGTTTTTCTATTAATTTAAATACGTTTCTAGTTTTAAAATAATATATATAATTTTATATATATGAATGATAAATAATAATAGATATATAAATATATATATATATAATATTTATAATTAAATATATAAATAATATATATATAATATATAAAATATAAATAAAGTTTAATTTTTGTTTATTTTATTATTATTTATATGTATTTAGTTATTTTTTATTTTCTTTTTAAAAAAAAAAAAAAAAAAAACTAAATACATATATATATTATAATTTTTTTTTGAACTAAAAAAAATGAGTTAATTACAATAAATATAATCTAAAAAAAATACAGATTAAATTCAATCTAAAGTGTTGTAACATAAACAGGTAATGAAATAATACGTTAAAATAGCTTTAAATCAAAAACGAATGCAAATAAAGATTAAATGAATAAAAATGATGAAATAAATACTATTTTTAAAGTAAAAATAAATTTTTATATAGAATTTTTTATACAAAAATAAATATATATCCGATATTAAATTTAATATTAAGTTAAATATAGATACCCCGTCAGAAGAAGACGATAATGAAGATGAAGAAATCGAAAATCCATTTGAAGGAAAAGACCATTAAATAAAAAAACGTGAATATTTCGATAAAGATATATTTGATGGGACAATATAAGCAAAAGCCATATAAAATATGAACAATATTATAAATAAGGATAAGATATAAACAAAATAGCAAGAATTTGTTAAAAGTAATTCCCCAATATATAAAAATTAGGAATTATAATTTCGAAAAACAATTTCTTATACTAGTAATATGAATAATAATAATAATAATAGTTAGATAAGAAATAAGTAAAAATACGAAGAATTCGATTAGATTTAATTTTATTTAGCCGGTTTAAGTTAAAATGAGAATGCCTAAAATTTAAATGAGGTAATTGAAAAAGATAAATTAAGTGTAAATGTCAAATCTAAGGATTTTTTAAACTTTATAAGATTATAGGAAGAAATAGATGAATTAAGAAGGAAATAAGAGTAAATATAAGAAAAAAAAGCGGAAAATTTAAAAAAATTAAAAGATTTAGAAGGAAATTTTTAAGATCAGATAACTTTAGAACTTTAAAATAATAAGTTCTTATTTAATAAAGATAAGAGAGTTCTTAGAAATTATTTTATGACAATTTAGAGGATTTAGAGGTTTAATTAAAATCTTAAAAATAGAGTTACGGCTAGGGAAAAAAGAAAGTTTATTAAAAAATTTTCCAATAATGAATTTCATATAGATCATTTAGACGAAATTTAATAATTAAAAACTATTGAATCTGATACCAGTTTTGAAAATCAAATTTGAAACATACCATAATTAAAAAAATACTCTAATTAAATCAAACTACATATAAGAAAATATATATATACATATAGTTTTTTTATTAAATAAAAATAATATATATAAATTATTCATCTTTTTAAATAAAAAAATAAAATTACTATATATTTTATTTATATAAAAAAGATATATTTAATAAAAATAAAAAAAAAACACAATGAAAAACAAAATACTAATTCTCTAAAACCGCCCAACAACCGAATTCCCTTAAAAAATCGACAATATATTTACCCAAATAATCTAAGATATTCCCACTAAATTAAACCAAAATGAATTTCTTTTAAAAGTATATTATCTTTCCATAGACCCAGTAATGCATGTTTGGCTTTCTGGTGCTCCTTCATATCTTCCTCCTTTGAAAAAAGGGGAAACTATACACTCATATGGGGTTGGGGAAGTAATTTTATCGGAAAATGATAACTGGAAAATTGGGGACAAATGTTTGGCAAATACAGGGGCATAGGAATATTGTTTAATGGATGCTTAAAGGCAGTAATTTGTATTTAGAATTCCCAGAAAAACCTCAGTTGAAAAATGTGCGTTTTATTTGTCTTTTTATAATAATTGGTTTGTTGCTTATTCTGGTATTAAAATGGTTGGCTAGATAAAACAAAAAGATACTGTACTTGTTTCCAGTGCAGCAGGAGCTACAGGGATAGTTTGTGTCTAATTAGCAAAGGTTTTAGGGGCTAAAAGGGTTATAGGTATTACTGGAAGTGAGGAAAAAGTGAAGTTTTTAAAAGAAAAGTTAGGTGTGGATGAAGTCATTAATTACAAAAAAGGAGATTTTTTTAGAGAATTAAGGAAGGCATGTCCAGAAGGGGTGGATGTGTATTTTGATAATGTCGGGGAGAAAATGCTTGATGATGTTTTGAAGTGTATGAATTTATATGGGAGAGTGGCTTTATGTGGAGCAACTAGTAATTATTAAGATCATAAAAATAGAAGAGGAGTATATAATTTAAGCTTGTGTGTAAGTAAAAGAATTATAGTTTAGGGAGTTTTGGCTAGTGATGCTATACCAGTATTTGAGGAAGTTTAGAAGTTTTTTTAAAAAAATATAGAAAATGGAAATATTAAATAGATAGATCATTATTTTTATGGAGTTGAAAATGTCTCGTAAGCTATGTAGTATTGTTTTATGGGTAAAAATATTGGTAAAGTATTAGTTAATGTAAATGGGGGAGGAGCTAAGTTATGATTTATATTTTAATTGAAAAAAAAAAAATTATATAAATTTTTAAATTTTTAAGTTTTTAAAACATTTAAAAAAAAAAAATTAATTATAATATTTTGATTTTTAGTAATAATATATTTTTTTTTTTTTTAATAATATATATAATTAAAAATAATTATATTAAAAAAACTAATATTAAAAAAGTTTATATATATTCATGATTCTCGAAAGGTTAACTTACCTTCGACAAAGTCAATAAGTTTCTAACCTCCAGACGCTAAAATTACATTAAGTGTATCAGCTAAGTTTTATTTTGCATAAATTACATCCTTTTCTAATTCTTAATTCTTTAAATCAAGATTTTCAGCTTTTTATTAATAAAACATTATTTAATTTTCTAATTTTTATATATCATTTTTTTATTAAATATCTTTATCCTAAGTATAATAAATATAAATATATATATATATATATATATATATATATATATATATATATATATATATGCACATTTTATATAAATATACTTATTCATTTTGAAGTATTTTTTAGACATTTTCCAATTAAGATATTAGTTAAGAAATTTATTAATTATTATATTGTTCTTCTCTATTTTTTTCTAGTACTTCCTTAATCCCTTAAAGGAGATTATTTTATAAACATTTGCTTTTAAATTCTAGTCTTTAATTTTCTTATTCAAGTTTTTTATTTTATTATTTTAAATAATTTAATTCATCATTGTCATTCTAAAAATTATTAAATTTTTCATTTTTTGTTATTATAAGTTCATCTACTAATCTTTATATTTATTTTTTTAATTATTTTTCTGTTTTTTAAAGTTCTTTTATTTTTTAAGATTCCTGAGTTTATGATTTTTCACAAGTAACATCACTTTTATCTGCTATACTATCATTTTTTTCATATAAATTATAATACTCCTCTATAGAATTTAATTTCAAATTCAATTCAGAGTTTTAATTTTATAATTATTTAATTTAGTATTCATATTATTATGACATTTCATTTAATTAATTAATTAATTAATTATTTTTTTCTTTATAAAAATCTAAAGTGCCTATATTAACCGAATCTTCATTTTTTAGTGTTTTTTGGCTTTTATTAATTTCTAAAACTGCACTTTTTTATGTATAATTATGGTTAAAATATCCTTTTAATTAATTGAATTTCGAATTTCCTTCTTGTAGATTTATTTGGGAAGGTTTTTTATTAATTTTAGTGTTTTTTCTTAAAGTTACTCTTCTTTTATAGGACTTATTTGTTTTTTTGTTTGGGAAGATTCGATTTCTTCTTTTTTTTCAAATTAATTATTTTCATTATTTTTAACTTTTTTTAAGAATTTTTCGATGGAAGCTTTAAATAGGAATTCGCAGACTATTCCTTTTTAAATTAAGACTGATTTTTTTACGACTTTTATTATTATTATAAGTATTATTTTTTTAAATCTGTCAACTGTTTTAATGCTTGGTAATTTAAAGATTCTTTCTAAGAGTTTTCTTTTCTAAAATCTATTTGTTATTATTATTTGTATTTGATAAACGGTTTTAGGAGATAATTATGTTTTAGGGGTTAATATATAGGAATTATAGTCGGTGTTTCGAGATGAATTTTTTATGGTTTCTGACTTTTTTAGGTTTAGCCTTGAGTCGTGGAATTCTTTGGTTGATGAAAATGATTGTTTTTCAGATTCTTTTCTAGAGAAGATGTAATTGAGTTTTAACATCTCTTTTTATATATATTGATTTATTAAATTATATATATATTTTGAGTTTTTTATATATATATATATTGATTTATTTATTTTATTTATGGATTTTTTTGTTTTCATATATATATATTTGTATTTCTTTTTTTATTTTTTTTTTTTTTTTTACAAATCATATTAAATTTCAAAATGGATTTTTGTACTTTTTTATTCACAGTTTTGTAAATAATCATTGTATATTTAAAAAGAATTTTCTGATTCTTTTAAATAATCTGTTAAATTAAATTAATATTATCCAAATGTAATTTATTAATCACTTTATATAATATAAATATATAAATCGACCTTTTTTTTTATAATTATTAATTTTAAAATTATTTTTAAAAAAAATAAATTTTATTATATATTGATTTTTATTAATATTTGTTTTTTTTAGAAAAAAAAATTAAATGAATTAATAATCAAATTTTTTACATATTCATTTTCTAGGACATTATATTATTAGTTAATTTTAAATTTTTATTTAAATTAAAATACTTCGTTTATATTAAGTGTATTATTTATTAAATTATAAGGCGCTCTTCTTTTATTTTCGATTACATTATCATCTTTTTTTTTTTTTTTAAGGTAAAAATAAAATGAATTGTTTTGCAATCTTATTTACTTTTTTTAAGAGAAACTTAAAAATAAACGTTATGTGGATTGTAATTTGTTTGGATTTTTTTTAAATTTATTTCAAATTCAAAATATTAGTAATCCATTTTTAATATAAAGTTTTTCTTTTTTTTTTTTTTCTTTTTTATGAATATTGCTTTTTATTTTATTTAATTATTTTCGTTTTTTTTTTTTTTTTTAATAATTTTTTAATTATTTGTTAAAAATAATTATATTTTTCTAAATATAAATAGAACTTTTGACATATCTTGTATTTGACATTTGATTATATAAATTTTGATTTAGGAATATTTTGATTAAATATATTATATTATCATATTTTTTTTATAAATTTAAACTTTTAAATATATAAAGTATATTTTAGTGAAAGAAAAAAATATTAAATATATATTTTTTCTTAAATTTTTATTTTTTTGAAAGAATTTTTAATATTTAATATATCAAGATTTTTATATTTTGTGAAATACTTTATATAATCAAACTATTTTTTATAATAATGCATTATTGACTATAAGTATATCTGTTATAGTATTTTATATAATATAAATATATTAATGTATATATATATATATATATATATACATTTATATAAAATATATAATATTATTTAGTTTACTATTTAAAGTATGTATTATTTAATTAAACTTAAACCTATTTTTTGATTGTATTGGAATTATAAAATTTAAATATAAAAATATATTAAAAAATATGTGTATATATATTTTTTTAATTTAATTCTCAATAAAATAATACTAAAATGAATTATTTAAAATTGAAACTAAATTAAATAAATAAATTTAAAAAATTTACAACTATTAATCTAATAATTTTTATAAAAAAATTATATATTAAAATAAATTATATAAAAACTCATATATAGTATATGTAAAATTATTATATTTTTTAAATTTTATTTTTGTTTTTAACATAATTTATTTAGTGTTTAATAAAATTAAATATATATAAAGTTTAAATATATATATATATATAAAATAAATATATATATATATATAAATATATAAATATATATATATAATTATATATATTTTTTTTTTTTTTTTCATAATGGGTATTCATTCTGTTTATAAAATCCTATTTTTTCATCTATTTACTTCATTAAATTAAGCACTAGTTCATCCATATTAGGTAAGCCAACAACCTGTACTCCAACTGGCATTCCTTTAGTATTTTTCATATTCTAATCTATATCTTTAGATATAGAATCATTAATTCTACTATTTTTATAATGTTATTCATTTTCTAAAACCTTTGTAACAGGTATAATTCCAGCTGGGAAATCTACGAAATTCCAAATATATGTATAAATAGAAGTTAAGAAGTTTTCTGAGTTTTTACCATGTTTTAAAGCTGGTGTACCTAAAGAAGGACAAACTACGGCTTAAATATTATATTTTTTAAATAAAGTGATGAATTATTATTTAATTTTTAATAGTTTATCTACCTATTTTTATTATTCAATAGCACTAATTTATTATATATATTAGAGAACATTACTTACCCTCTTTTCTCCTAAAAGCCTATTAATGCTAATCAATATAGATTTAATTAAATAATTCATTTTCGTAATAGTATCTAATGCTTTATATTCCTGAATAAATTACTCTCCATCTGTCATTTATCTTGCTGTTGAAAAACCATCACTAAACACAATTTTAAAAAATACTTCCTCTATTTCATTCTAAGAAGGAATCTTTATCTCTACTACTTCATGTCCTAATTCTTTTAGTTTATCAATTGTTATTTCTACTGCACGTTAATTAGCTAAAGTAGCATCGAAATGAGATAATGTCTTAAAATAACCGACTTTTAGTTTTTGTTTTGTAGTGTATAATTTCTCATCGAATTCTTTTACGATTAAATACTGATTTCTGTAGTCTAATTCAGCTTCTTCGTGTTGTTTTTTATCACAAAAACACCTAAAAAATAAAGTTAAATCTTCTACTGATTTTCCTATAGGACCACAAGATACCTTTTTTCTATATTTTATTTTATTTTCCCATAAATAATAATTATACTTATAATGATAATAATCCATTAAATACTTCAGTATAATAACAATGTCCATTAGTAATTCCTCTTTAAGCCGTTGGTTTAAATCCATAAACACCACAAAATGCTTATTATATATATATATTTATACGAAACCAATATATATATATATATATATATATAATAAATATTATTTACCTGCTGGAATTCTAATAGAACCTGACAAATCAGAACCGAATCCTAAAGGAGAGCATCTAGAAGAAACTAGAGCACCTTCTCCTCCTGAGGAACCACCTGCGGCTTTAGATTAATCCCATGGATTTAATGTTCTTCCGAAAATATGGTTTATTGATTCTATAGTTAAAGCACATTAAGGGACATTACTTCTCACAAAAGGAATAGCTCCTTATTATTTTAATAAATATATATTAAATCCATCAATTTCAGAAGGTTTAGTATTAATTTTACTAGCTAAACCTATATAAGAGACATAATCTTTTATTTTATTCTATTTTATATATTAAAAACAAAAAAATACCTTTTTATAGAAATATGTCTTTAATTGAAATAGGAATGCCAAATAATATTCCAGTACATTTTTCAGGATTTTTCTTCCTAATTTCATCACATTCTTAAGCTTATTTTATAGCTTCTTTATATGTAAGTTCAGTTATCATGTTTAGTTCTAATCCTATTTTTTAGCATCTTTAGGTGAATATATTTACTAGATCAACACTATAGACTTCTTTTTAATTTAACATTTGTTTTAATTTTTAGACATCACTATTTAAAACTTTTTCTATAGTCTCTTATGATAATTCTGGCCTTAGTTTTATGTTTATTTATAGGTTTTATTATATCTTTTCTTTAGAGTGTTTTAATGAGAGTTCTTTATAGTAAATTACTCTTTTTTTGTTCTTTATTAGTAAAGATATATAAAATAAAAATTATAATGTAAATAGGACAAATATTAAATATATTGTTTGATATAATTATAAATTTATATCAAGAAAAGACATTTTTTATGTTAATATGTATTTTTTTTTATTAAGAATATTAAATTTTTATTAAAATTTAAAAAAAATTAAAAGAAAGATATTTTTAATTTTAAGAAAAATAATTAAAAATATAAAAAAAAAAAAAAAAATATTTATATATAAAAAAATATATATATATATTAATATATAAAGATACATATTATATAAATTATTATATATATAAATATATACATATTTATATTTTTATTTTTATTTATATATATACAAATATATATTTAAATATAATTGCTTTTAAAGATATTTTTTTTTTTATTTAATTCGTATATACATTTTCATATTATTTTTTATTTAATATTAATTTATTTTTACACATTTTTTCATTATTTATTATTTTATTATTTTGTATAAATTTTTATTTTTTTATGATTTATATAAATTTGTTAATTTTTTCATTCGTTATATATCAACAATTACATTATTTTTTAAAAGATTTAGAATTCTCATTTACATATATAATTTCTTAAAAATATTAATTAAAATCATCTTATTCTGTAATATTTTATACATAAGATTATTCTTAAACAGACTAAGAAGCAGTTGAAATTTAAGGAATTCTTTCAAAATTAATATTTTAAGAATGTCTAATAATGTTTTATTTTTATTACTAAATTACATTATAATTTGATAAAGCTTTTTTCAAATTATTATTCTCTTCAAACAATTAATTAATACTTTATTTTAAAAAAATGTTTTCGCTTTAGATTATGTCGTAGTTTTTCCTTTTTTAATTAATTTTTTTTTATTCTAATAACTTTTATTGTAATTCTTATATTTAACGATCTTATATTAACGCTTGTTAATTTTTAAATGAAATACTTTTTTCTAATTCGATAATTTTTTTGTCTTTATCATTTACTTCTGTATTTAATATTAACTATATTATTGATTCAGAATAATTAGACATTTGTTTTTTTTTTATCTGTTAAAAAATATAATTATTATTATTTTTTATATATTAAAATATAAATTAGTTTATAAAAATATTAATTAAAAATTAATTAAATAAATTGTTTGAAACAATACGTTATTTTTTAAAATAATAATATATATATATATATATATATATATAAACATAAAATAAATTTTAATCAATAAAACTAAAGAAAATGTCGAAAAAAAAAAAATGATTTAATAAACTAAAAAAAAAATATTATAAATAAAATAATAAAATGTGATTAGTATTTTAAAATTTTATATCTAATCATTTTTTATTTTATTTTATTTTAAAAAAAAAAATTAATATAAATAAAATGATAATAATATAAAAATATAAGAGATTTTTTTTATTTAGGATTCTTTTTTTAGAATAAATATGTATTTCTATAATAGGATAAATTAAAAAAATAAGTATTAAAGGAAATTAAAAATAAATAAATTATTAAATGACAAATTAAAATATAAAAAAAATAAATAAAAAAAAAGACGCGCTTAAAATTTAAAAATATATTTAATAAAATAAAAAAAAAAAATATTTATAAAATATTTATATATTTATATATTATTTTTTAACTTTATAAAATTAATAAATATTTAACGTTTTATTTTATAAAACAATTAATTAAAATCAATATAAATATAATCTTATAATTAATTTAAATATAATAAAAAAATAATGCTTAAATCTCGATTATTTACTTAATTTATTTAACAATATTATTTCATTTTAAATGCTTAATTATCATATTTTAATTTTTTTTTAATATTTAATCTATTAAATTAATTAGATATTTAAATCTTATTATATTAGTTTTAACATTTTAAAGTAAATATAAATACTTTAAGAATTTATATTATTTCAAACTTTACAATTCATTATTCGTGATATAATAATATTTTGATTTATTAATCTTGATTATATATTAAAAAAATAAAGTTTTTTTATTAAATAAATTTTCTTATTATATATTTATTAGATAACTTAATACAAAAATTTTTATAAAAAACTAGCAAAGCATATTAAAATGATTATATTAATAAAAATGAAAGCGGTGTATATTTTTTTTTAAATTTCTTTTCTTATATAAAAAAAAAGAAATCTAATTTTGTTAAAAAAACAAACTAATTTTTATATATATTTATATATAAAATATTGATAAAAAATAAAATCAATTTAGATATAAAAAATATATAAAAATAAATAAAAAAATAAAATAATATATATAGTATATATTTAAAATATATATATACAAATCATTAATTAAGAAAAAAATAATATTAAGTTTAAAATAAAAATATATATAAATTAATTTATCAGAATTAGTGAATTCAAAATTTTTCTAAAAAAAGATATTTTTATAAGTTTATATTTAATAAAATAATGCCTTTATTATAGTAATAACAATAAAATATTGAAATATATGATATTTAGATTTTTTAATATTATTTATATATTAATATATTATGATAATAAAAATAAAAATTTCATATTTAAAAAAAACCAAAAAATTACATAATAAAATTAATTAAATTATATTAAAAAAAAAATATCTAATTTTATGTAAATATATATCTATAATAAAATATGAAATTTTTATTATATATATTAATTTTTGTTTAAACATTTCATTTTGTATATTAATTTTTATTAATTTATAATATATTTCAAAGGAAAAATACATTAAATCTAATCATAGTATGATTGTCGTAGTTATTTTTTTCAAATGTAATTGGGATGTTAAATCAAAAGCTTTTCGACTTTATACACAAAATTTAGTAAGAATTTGTAAATCCATTAGGTGGTTTATCATTTGTCATAATCTAGTAATTTTTCATTATATATATTTAATAATAATGTGTATTTTGTTCTGTATTTTTTTTAAAAAAAATAATATTTTTATATTGAATTTCATAGAAAAGTTAAATTTTTTAATTTTAAAATAATTAGTTGATTTTTTTTATATTTTTATCATAAAAACAAGGCTTAAAATTTTATCAATAATCTTTTTTTGTTAATTTAAAATTTGTATAGTTTAATAATTAAATAAAATAGATATAGGATATATTTAATTATTTATATAAATATAATTATGTGATTAATATAAATATAATCAAAAGTTTATTCATAATATTAACTACAATATTGTTTAAATTTTATTCATTTTTTAACTTTTATATTAGATTAACAAATAAGACAATATCAAATATAATTAAAGTATATTAAATTTACATAATAAAAAGTAAATTATATTTATTATTTTTTTTATATAATCATATAAAATAACTTTATTTATATATAAATAACTATTTTATATGAATATATATATAATAATAGTTTTTGTTTAAAAAAATTAATAATAAATTTATATATTTATTTTATTAAAAAAAAAAAAATTTTCAAGTTTAAGCTAAAAAACTAATTTTCACTAAAAAAAAAAAAAAAAAAAAAAAAAAAAAATCATAAAAAAAATGTTAAAAAAAAAATGTCCTAAACTTAAAATAATAGGTTCATATATAATCTTAATAGACGTACTTTTAGGAGAAGGCTAATATGGAAAAGTATATCTATCCCACCTTTAGAATGATAAAACTAAGCTTTTTGCCGCAAAAGTAATCCCTTAGCACCTTATAAAACAATCGCTCTCGAATAATAATTAATTAAACGGCGAAATATAAGTACTAAGAATGTTAAAAAGTGAAAGTATAGTATGTTTACATGATATATTTTAATCTGAAAATAACTTATATTTATTTCTAGATTATTGTAAAGGTGGTGATTTATAGAATTATATTAACAAATAACCCGAAAAACGTTTAAATGAAGAAGAAGCAGTTTAATATTTGATATAAATAATAGAAGGTTATAAATATTTATATTAATAGAAAATAATACATAGAGACATAAAACCTGAAAATTTAATGCTTTTTGAAAAAGGGAAAATTAAACTAGCCGATTTCGGTTTTGGAAGAATTATTGAAGGAAATAATATGGATTTCCAATAAAAAATGTCAATTAAATGTACTCCTATATATGCGTCACCTTAACTACTTACTTTTTAAAAATATAGCTCTAAATGTGATGTTTGGAGTACTGGCTGTGTTTTTTTTATATGCTTTTTGGGGAATATCCTTTCTAGGCTTATAGCTAGAAAGAATTAGTGAAAGAAATTTAAAGGAAAACTATAAAAAATAAGAACTTGTTGATTCCTTAAAATGCTATTGTTAGTATAGAATGTTAAAGTTTAATAATAAAAATGCTATAGTTTGAGGAAAAAGATAGGATTTCATGGGAAGAATTGTTTAGACACTCTTTTTTGGTTAAATAGGGCAATGAAAATTATATAGGTAGTATTTAGAATAATAATAATAGTAGGCTTTTTGTTTAGAAAAAAGAATAAAATTTAGATAAAATTTAAAAGGTTGATTGTATATTGAATTTGTTTAAATAAAAAGGAATTTTCGCAAATAAATGTATAAAATATTTTTTTGAGGCGAAAGATTACTTTTTTTTTAGTCGTTTTTTGGTGTATGATATGATTTATTGTCTATGTTTTTTTAATTTTTTATGTTTAGAGATGTTAGTGAAGTTTTTAGAGTAAAAAGTTTAAATAATAGGGATACTTTTGGAGGATATTTAGGTTTATTTTTAAAGTGAAAAATATTAGGTATTTAAAGAATAAGTAGTCCAAGAAAAATAAAATGCTGAGAATGTACTTAATACACTAGTCAATAATATATTCAAAATAGAGTAAAAAGGAATTTGGGTATAAAAATTTAATTTCGAAAGGGATTTATTATTTAAGTTTTTGTAGAAAAAAAATGTAACGATATTTGAGGTTTAAATAAGAGGATTTATTAATTTTAAGAAGATTTATAGTTTTATTGATTTAAAGGAGTTTTAGGAAAATATATAAGGATTAAGGGTTATTAGGGCATTATAGATTTTTTCTAAAATTGATTATTATTTTAATGTGGAAAATTTAGATTTTAAATTTTAGGAATTTATAGAAAATGAGATTATTAATATAAATGAAAAATAATTATATGAAAGAATTATAAAAGAAAATAAATGAAGTATATATAAATAGATACTTTTTTATTTAGTATAAAAAAATATAACAGATATATATTATTTATTTATTTTATAATTATATATATATTTTAATTATATATATAATTAATTAATTTAAATAATTTAAATACTTTTTATATAAATAATATATATATATATTCGCGGAATTTTTATTTTTGGTTTTTTTATAAATAAAAATATATTTATTTCTTAAAAACAATATTTTATTTATGTCATTATATAAAATAATATATATATATATTTATAATTTCAAATTTTAGATATTTTAGATATTTTAATAAATTATAAAACTAAATTGTATATAAAAAATATATTATAATTTATAAAAAGATTATATATATTGCTAAAAAAGCGAAAATATTAAATAATAAAATGAGAAAAAAAAAAAAAATTAATAAAAAAAAAAAAAATAAAGACAAAAATAACTTTATATATTAATAAAATATGAAAAATCAAAATATAAAGTATTTAAAAAATAAGAAAAATCTTAAAGAAAAATAAGATTAAAATAAGTTTCAATAAAACACAAATTTATAAAATAAAGATGAAAATGCAAATAGATACGATTTTATATATTAAAATATATTAGAGAATAGAGAGAAATAATAAAATACGAATTAGTAAATGAATAAAAATGAATAAAACGATAATTAGAACAATTAAAATAAAAGTATAAATTTAAATTTTTAGTAAAGTTATTTTGAATAATGCTGCAATTAACAAAATATTTAAGAAATTTAAAAATCTTAATAAGAAAAAAATAATAATATGAATAAAACTAATAAATATAATAATAATAATAATAATAATAATAATAATAATAATAATAATAATAATAATATTTATAATAATTTTGATAATCATAACATTAATATTAATTAAAATAATTCAATAGATAAGATATAATAGAATTTTTAATATAATTAATATAAAAATATAAAATTGAATGAAATATTCAAATAAAATATGTCTGTGGAATATTAAAATAATTAATAGTTATAAAAAGTAAATAATAATTTTACATCTATTAAATATAATAAAAAAGATAATAACAAAAAAAAACTTCTATTATGTTTTATTAAAATATTTTTTAATATTTATTAATAAAAACAAAATAGAAAATTATGTAAATAAAGAAAATATAAAAGGATTAAGATATATTTCTTTAAATGTAAAAAACATTATATAAGATAAAAAAGAAACAAATTATAAAGAAGTAGCGGACACATTAGTATATTAGTTATCATTTGAAAAAAAAAAAAATAGTAATAATGAGGTAATAATAATATAATTTTATATAAAATAACTAAAAATAAAAAGTATATTAAAAGATATTTTTATTTTTAAAAATAATTATATTATATATATGTTATTTTTTTAAATAATAATTATTAATATCATATATATACATTTTATATATATCTTTTTTATTTTTTAATAAATTTTATCTAAAGTTAAAAGATTTATAAAATATTAAAAGAAGAGTTTATGATGCTCTTAATGTTTTAATTGCATCTTAAGTTATTTCTAAAAAAGGAAAAAATATTGTTTATTTTGATTAATCAAAAATAATTGGTAACATTTTTATTTTTAACTTTCTTTATTAATTTTTAAAATTAGACGGAAATTATTTATAAAGTAATAATTGGAATAATTATAAAAATATTTATAATCTATTGGAAAATAAAAGAGAAATAATAAAATAGAAAAAGCATTTTATAAATTAATATATGTAGAAGTTATCTTTATTAAATTATTTAATATAAAGAAATAAAAAAGAAGAGAATATAAAGAATAATACTGATTAATCATTTAAATTTTATTTTCCTCTTATTATATTAGGCTTATCTGTAAATAATTAAGTAATAATTTTATATAATATATATATATATATATATATATATATATATATATATATATATATATATATATATATATTCTTTAATTAAAAATAGAATATTATATTAAAAAGTAATTAATAAAATACATAATTAAAAATATACTCTAAAAACCATTTATAAACATATGGAGATTTGGACATTCTAAATAAAATTGAATTTAATAAAAATCTAATTTAATATTCTTAAATTTTTAATAAAGAATTTATTTTGTGGTATAATAAAAATTTTAAATAAAATGAAATTATTAAGTTTTATTGATTTATATTTCTTATTTAAAAAATAAAATAAAAAGTACGATTTTTAAATAAATAAATTAAATAAAATATAAAATAATTTTTATTTTATAAAATAAGTAATATTTATATTTTTATCTACTATATAAACAAATAATATATATTTTTTTAAAAATATAAATATGAATGTATTTTCTAAAAAAATATTAAAAATTAATTAATTATATATTAATCTAAACTAATATATATATATATATATATATATTTATATTTATATTTATATATTTATAGGCTTTTAATAAAAAAAAAATCCATTAGAAATATTTACTTCCATATTTTTAAAATGATAATAAAAAAAAAATTATTTCAAAAAAAAAAAAAAAAAAAAATTGTATTTTTTCTTTTTAAAGTCAATAATATCTCAAGGCACATAATGAAAAGAATTCCTTTTATATTAATATATATATATATATATATATATATATATATATATATATATATATATATATATAAATATAAATATTTAATTAATATGTTTTTTACTTATCATATTAATCCCTTTTTATATAATCCCTTTCTATTAAAGATTCGATTCTTCTTTTAATAACTGGAATTTCCGGCTTGAAATTATTAACCAATTTAATAACTTCGGGAATTAACTCATTATGTTTCATAATTTTTCTACTTTTCATAACTCTAACAATACATGCGTCTAAAATATATTCTCTTTCTTTTGAAACTTCTTCTTAGAATTATTATTTTCCCATTTCTTCTTCTTTTTATTTTTTTATTTGTCCTTATTTTCCTCCAGGTATACATCTAATTCTTTTTTGTTTAAAAGCAAAATTCACGTTTATTTCAATTTCGTTATTTTCTTCGAAAACGTCATTTTTTATTCCTTAACAATTTAAAATTTTTAATTTCACAAAAGGAATAATTGCATTTTGTAGTTCCGAATTTTCAATGCCTGATACCTATAAAAGCTTCTAAAAAGTCACAGAATTGCCCTATGCTTATAGTTTTTATAAAGCTATCATTTAATAAGTACTTACAATTAATATATACTTTTCTTTTTAGGTTTTAAATGATATTTCTGCTGTACCTTAGCTAAAAAGCCAATTTATATTTCTTCCTTTATACTTATCCTTATATATTTATTTAAATTTATTAACCATATCTTATAGTTATTCAGGAATTTCACAATTATCTTGAATTTTTTATAGAGGCCAACTTCCTGTAGTGAGTACATTCGCAAATAATTCTACTTAATATTAAGAAAGTTGCTTCTTTATTTCTTGATGAAACTCCTCACTATTATTGATATCTTTTAACATTGTTTCGATCTTATTTACACCAGCTTAGCCTGCTTCAGTCTTTTTTTAAGTGAAAAAAAAAAAAATATATATATAAATATATATATATATATATATATATATATATATATATGTATATATATTTATATATATATATATTTATATATTTATTTATATGTATATATGTATTTATATGTTTACTTTAAATTTAGAAATCAATTGCTTTTCGGCTTCTTTATTCCTAGAAGTTGAATTTAAAAGTCTATTAGAGAAAAATTTTTAATAATGTTTAAAAAAAGTATCTCTGGAGTAAAAATATACGAATATTTTAGCAATTTAGGATAGCTTTTCTTCTATTTCTTAATCATTTTATAAGTTTTCGGTTTTTAAAATAACGTCTGCGTGTGTGGCTAAAAAGAAAGTGCTTTTGTCACATTTATTAAGGAAATATTAAAATGCTGAATCTCTAGCTTTTTATAGTAATATGTTATTACTAAATATATCCTAAATTAAATGATCGCATTCTTTTTTTAATTAGAATACTTTTTCTATATATTCTATAGCTATGTCCTCTAAATTATATATATATATAAATGTTTATATATATATATTGCTATAAAATAAACTTTGCGTTTAATTTTCGTTTTTTCTTTATTCAGTTAAATCATTATAGGATTGTCCATGAAATTGTATATATATAGTTATTTTTTTGGCTATATGCTCTAGTGTCTCTTTTACTCTTTAAAAGAGTTTATATAGGTTTTACATTTCTTGTTCTTTTTTTTCTTTGAACATGACTGCTAGTCCAGTTTATTCATTATTTACAAGTTATTCGCTTTGTTGTTAAATTACTATTTATTCAATTCTGTTTATGATTATTCTAGAAGAATTATGGTAATATTAAGAGGCTATATCTTCTTCTTTTTAAAAAGAGTTCAAAGCTTCTTAGACATATTCAGGGGTACTTAAAACAGCCCATTCATTGATTTTTTTTTAATAATAAATTTCCATCTATAATAATAAAAATGATAATATATATATATAAAATATAAATAAACAAATAATTATATATTCAAATAAATATATATATATATTTTTCTTTTATATATATTACTTCATCTGCAAACGGATTTTAGAAATTTTCTTCATAGTATTTTTTACTATCATCTATTTCAAAAACATAATCGTAAGTATTTGCTATTCTAGTTAATTTAGCTGTTTTTTTAAAACCTACTTCATTATATATTTTGATGAGTTTTTTTACTTTTTCCCTTGGAATGGTCTAGTCTTCTCTTAAAAAAATTTGAAAATGTACTATAGTCTTAAATAGTTTTTTATTTATTATATTAAAATAATCTTCTCTGTAATTTTTAAACCCTTCCGAATGTAAGTTCGTATTTTTATTTTTCAAATAAAAATTATCTAAATAATAAAATAGCTTATGCAACCAATGCAAATAAATCTAAAAGTTTTTATATTAGTAATGAACTGTGTCAACATATACTTCTTGATCATTTATTGATTAACATTCAATTAGATTTGTATTTAAATAATTCTTAATTAATTATATGTAATAATTAAATAATAGTTCCTCATTATTCTATATTTGACTTTAGTTTATGTTTGAAGGATCTTAACTACAGTCACATGCTTATAATACAGCACTTTTTTATTTTATATATATATATATATATTTATAGATTTTATATATATTTTTTATTAACTTATAACATGGCATAAATTCTGCATTTGAAATTACTACTGTTTAATCGTTTTTTAATAATTTTAAAACTTTTTGGTTTATATTTTGGATTTGAGATACTGCTTCTTCATATAGATTTACGTTTTTTTTAAATGTATCGTTCATTTTTTATATTTTTTTTATTTTTCTATATATAATTATTATTGATTTTCTATTTTATTTTTTTATTTATTAAAATTTTATTGAAAAAAAATATATACAATGAAAGATATAAGAATAGATTTTTTTATATATATTAATTTGAATATTATTTTGCCATAATTATGAATAGTATTAATTTGTTTTATATATAATTATATACTCAGTATTTATAATAATTAATTAAAAAAGTATTAATAATAATATATAAAAAAGGATATTTATTTAAAAATATATGAATATTTTATTTATAAATAAATAAAATATATTTTTTATAATATATTCTATTTTTTTTATAATTTGTTTAAAAAATTATATAGAATTTTCATTAAATTATACATATATATATATTTATATATATATATTTATAAATATATATATTTTTATTTATATATTTTACTATATATATATATAATTATTTTTTTTATTTTATTGTATTTTTTAAAAAAAAGACTTATTCAATTATTTAAAATAGAATATTTTTGGTTTATAAATGTAATTAGAAAAAATATAATAATTTATATGGAAAACCGAAATTCCTATATAATTAGAATATAAAGATAACAAAAACATACTTCCATTATATATATTTATAAAGCGAATCGAATACCTAATTATGTACTTTTAAAAAATAAATGATTATTTCATATAATACATATAAGATTAATTAAATATTAATTAAAAGAACATAATATTATAAATAAATGGAAAAATTATATAATGGAATATTCCATTTGGAGTAATTTTAGATTAAAATTAAATAAAAAAATTCCCAATATAAATATAAGTTATTTATGGTAATAAAGAAGATGAAAATGGTTTTTTAAATATTAATAATGATATCCAATCTATCTTCGAATAAAACTATAAATAAAATTTAAAAGAGGCGAGCTGCATAAGGTTTAAAAGGGTAGGAGCAAATAATATTTTATGTGAATAATCTCCTTAAGAATGGAAAAAAATGTGGTAGAGTTTTTTTAAAATAGAAGATTAAAAAATAGAAGATTTCTTATGTAATTATAAAAAATTAATGTAGGATGGAAATAGAATTGAATAATTTGAAGTTTAATAATTACCTGTAAGGATATATATAGGGAATAATGAAGGAAGAATATAATTAAAAGTTTCGATTTTAAATAATGAATATTGTTTAGGAAATTTTTTATGTGATTTTTTTTAAGATATTTTATATTAAGATTAAAACGGAAAATTTATTATTAAAAATGAAAAATATGAAAACTTAAAAGTCTATTGTCATGGAATTGAATGTAATTTTAAGATTCCACTTAAGTTTTTTTATTTCAATTTTAATTATTATGATGGGTTTACTTATTTTGTTTTTATTTACTGAATTTTATTTATATATATATATATATATATATATATATTAAATGTATCTAAATATAAAGATTTAAATTCAAAAAATATACAAAGAAATAAATATATGAAAATAAATTTGTATATAAAAATGTATATATATATGTATATATATATATATTTATATATAAATTTTATATATATATTATTTATAACATTTTTTTTTTTTATATAAAAATAAATAAAAATACATTTATTTTATTTTTTTATTATTTTATATTATTTATCTATAAGATAAATTATATATAAAAACTTAATTTTAAATACTCATTATTTTATATATATATAATAAATAATATATTATATACATTTTTTTTTTATTAATAATTTTATGTTTTATTCATTCAATTTATATCTAATATTTTTCTTATTTACAACCATATACTTATACTATTTAACATATACATTTATAACAAACACTTTGTATGTAACTTTTTATACATAATAAACTCTTTTTTATTCATTAATTAATATTTTTTTTTTTTTTTAATAAATAATTATATACCAATTATTAATTATTTAAACATGTTTAGTATGCTATTTATATTGGATTATAACATTACTAATTCCAATAATCATTGCAATATACAGTTTAACATTTACATTTTAGATTTTGGAAAGAAATTAGTAATATAAAAGATAATAGTATTAATTTTATCATTTTTTGTTATTTTTAATATATATAATCAATATTTAAATTATTTTAATTAAATAATTTAGTAAAAAATTTTTTTTGTGAATATAATAAATATATAATGATTTTATATTATGTTTAAAAAATAAAATATTTTAATGTTATTATTTTGTTATATATAGACATAATTTTTATTCCTTTTTTATCACTAAAAATAAAAAAATATATGAAATAGTAAGAATATAATAATATATTTAATTAAATTAGATTATTATTTACAAATAAAAAATAATAATATAAAATTCTAAAAATATATATATATATTTTATATTAAATAATTCAAAAATATATATTTAAACTTAAAGATTTGTTAATATAATTAAAAATAATACAAATATATAAAAATATATAAAAGGTGTAATCTAAAAATCAGTTTTTTTCGTAAAAAAATAAAAAAGTTCGTATTATTTATTAAATACCTTATTCTATATAATCGAATATTTTAAATTAAAATTCTATAATATTTGTTTTTAAAAACATAAACAAAGATAAATATTACTTTTATTGATAATAAAAATTGTATTTATTATAAAATCTTATATTAAATAAAAAATCTAAAAAATAATAATATTAATTAGTGTTTTTTAAAAAAAAAGATTATGATTTTTATTTAAAGAATAATAAAAAAAAAAATTTTTTTTTTGTTTATTAACAATAAAAATTAAGTAATTAATATAAATAAAAATATCTGTTTTAATAATAATGTATATAAAAATATATAAATTTCTCATTTTTTTGTTAATTTAACTAATTTTATTTATATTCTTATATAAAATACATATATATAGAGCTTTTATATATATTTAAATTATTTCCATATTTTTATAAAAAAAAAAATATTTAACCTGTTTATAAATTTCTGTTTATAAAAAAAAAAATAATAATAATATTAATTATTATTATTTTATTTATATATTAAAAAAATAAAAGTAGTTTATAATAAGTTGATAATATATAAAAAATCTAAAATAAAAACAAAACAAAAAAACAACAAAAATGTTATAAGCTTTATGGGATAGTCTTGGAGCTCCTTTAGATTTAGTCGAAAAAGGAAAATATAAACCTGAATAAGGTTTATAATGGAAATGGGGTGAAATAAAAAATGATTATAGGTTTTCAGGGGATGAGTCTTTTTGGGCAAAGACTCGAGAAAAAGATTTAAACGAAATATTTAATTAAGTGTGTTTATTTTTTAAATTAAATAAATGCTTAATATTTTTTATTTTATTTTGTTAATAAAAAAAAAAAGGGTATATTAAATGATCATATATGTATCCGTGATGAAAATTATAGATGTAAAATTTGCGGAAAAATATTAAAATGGGTAGTATATGGAAACGTCAAAATATTTTAGCCTTATAACATATTTTATTATGATTATTAATATATATTAGATTAAGAAAAAAAAGGAAAAAATTATATTATTTGTAAGAATTTTACAGATATAAAAAATTTATTGAAATTAAGAGAATTTATTCTTTTTTTTATTATATAGACCTTTAGGCTTAGGTTATTTAGATTTTTTATAATAAAAAAAAAACAAGTTTCCATATAAATTGAAAATTTAAAAGTAATACTAAATTAATATATTAATATATTAATATATTAATATATTAATATATTAATATATTAATATATATAATATATATATATATATATATATATATATATATATATATATATATATTTATTTTCGATAAGTTTGAAGGAGATAAATAAAATAAGTAATTAGAATTATATGCCGATTATGAAACTGCTAATATGAGCTAATTTATATACTTTTAAGAACTAGAATACATTAAAATTATTTTGAAATCAGATACTAATTCTTTAGGTAAAAGAATTAACTATTATTTTATATATAAAATAGGTTTTACATAATGGTTTAATTTTGGAGTGAAATTTTGGGGTTAAGAAGGTTAAAACATAAGATTTGAAATATTAAATTGTCGAAATAAATCTAATTTTTTTAACGAAGGAATGAAATTTTATATAGGAAACATTGATTATGACTATGAAACTGTTATAAAATGGACTAAATTTCCTTAAAAAATCGAATATAAGAAATCCATATATAAACGAAAAAAGCCTGAAGAAGAAACAGAAGAAAATACTGATAAAACATACTTTTATACACTATAATTTAACTATAAATTCACATAATAGGGGGAAAGAGTACTTTTTTCATATGCAAAGCCTTATTCTTTTACCAATTTAGTATCTTTTTTGGAAAAAACAGAAGAGAATTTAAAAAAAAGGGAAGGTTTTTAATATGAATTTGATACAAAAACTCGAGAAATTAGTATTTTTTCTGAAAATATTTTATATAAAAAATAACTAATTGGCGGATCAAGATTGGGTTTATCAATTTTTGTATTGGAAATTACTTCTGGGACATAAAAAGGGAAAATTCCTCTAGAAAAAAGGAAAATAGTCTTTATTTTGGGAAGATAGCACCCCTCAGAAAGCCCCAGTTCGATGATTCTGGATGGCTTGATTTCCTTCTTGGTTTCAGATGATTTAATTGCGCAAAAATTAAGGGAGTTCTTCGTTTTTAAGGTCGTTCCAATGGTTAATCCGGATGGAGTTTGCGTTGGAAATAGCAGGACTAATATTTCTGGGGCTGATTTGAATAATGAATGGTAAGAACCGTTGGAAAAATAACACCCTGAGGTGTTTTATTTGAAGAATTATATAAAAAAATATTTAGAGAAGAAAGATTTATTCCTTTTTGTTGATTTTCATGCTTGTATTAATGAAAAAAATGCGTTTATGTATGGATGTGAAGAGTTTGGAGGGTTAAATTCAAGTTTAAAGTGGTTTTGTAATAGGGTTTTGTTAAAAATAATGCATGAAAGTATGAAATATTTCAATTATGAATAATGTAAAATGTCTTTAAAAAAGAAAAATATGAATTAGGCTAGATGGGTGTTTTATTAGGAGTTTAAAGCGAGTTTTTCGTATAGTTTTGATGTTTCTTTTTTCGGTTTTTTTATAAACTCGTTTTTTTCAATATAGAATGATAAATATTAAGAAAAGTAGAAGCTAATATAGGAATTAGAAATGGGAAAAATCGATTATGATTAGTTTATGGAAATCAAAGATTAGGTATTTGAAAAAATATAGAATAATGGAAAAAAAAACAAAGAAATTGTTGAATTTTCAGAAGATTTATATCAATAAATTGGAGTCGATTTTTGTCATAATTTATTAAAATTCTCACTTTTTTATTGTCAAATGTATGATGAGTCATTAAGAAATAATGGATAATTATCTCTTATTTAAGAAATAAATGATAATAATACCGAAAACAGCAAAAATAATAATAAAAATCTTAATAATAGTATTAAAACATAAAATACTGCTTTTAGATAAAACAGTATAATTAGAAAAGATTCCAATATTAGTACAAATAGTAGAAAAGTATCAGATTCTATAGTAGTGATAAAAGAAAAAAGTAATAATAACGATAAAAACACCAAAAGTAATAATAATAACGATAAAAACACCAAAAGTAATAATAATAACGATAAAAACACCAAAAGTAATAATAATAACGATAAAAATACCAAAAGTAATAATAATAACGATAAAAACACCAAAAGTAATAATAATAATGATAAAAACACCAAAAGTAATAATAATAATGATGATAAAAACACCGAAAGTAATAATAATGATAAAAACACTAAAAGTAATAATAATAATGATAAAAACACAATATTTTTTTAGAGATTAAAAAAAAAATTAAATAAAAGTAATTATACTAGTCCAAATTCTAGTTTGTAAGTTTCAGTCGAATATAATTGCTAAAATTCGCCCATTTTGGGTAATTAAAAAGCCGATTAAAGTATTTTCCTTTAAGAATTTTTAAATAATAATAACTAAGAGGAATATACTGAAAAAAAGAAAAAATACTCGGATAGTATATAAGCTAATATATAAAATGAGACTTAGAAAAATACCAAATTTTTTTAAGAAAATAATAGTCCTAGTAAAAAAAAGAAAGGGAATAAAAAAAAACTGTTTTTTAAGAAAAAAAAAATAGATGTTTTTATATAAAATATACTATAATAAAATATAGAAATTAAAAGTTTGTTCCCTAATATGAGATCTTTTTTATGGCGAGATTATTTTTCTTAAGAAGAGTTTGATAAAAGCTTTAATTATGAATCTATATAGAAAAAAATACTACACATAGTGAATAATAATCTAGATACAGAATAAGATTACGATACGGATTCATGTTTATTTTTTATAAAAATAAAAATAAAAATAAAAAATAAAAAAATATTAAAATAAAAATAAATAAGAATATAGATATATATATATATTATATATATATATATATATTTTAAATATTTATATATTTATGTATTATAGAACCTGAGGATGACCTTTTAGAAGGCAAAATATATTTACTAGATAATGATTATTATTATTCAGGAGAAGATATGGATGAAAGGAAATCGAAAATTTAAGATATATATATTAAATTTGGGGAATAATACAAGGGTTTATTAAAAAATATTAAAATGGAAAATCTAGAGCTTTTGTTAAATGGGTAAATTGAGATTGATGAAAATGGAAATATTAAGTAAAAGAAAAAAATTGAAGATTAGATTTTACCAAAATATAAAAATTATTTATAGAAAAAAGATAAAAATAAGAATTCTTTTTAAAATGAAGAATATGAAGATAATGTGAAAAGAAAAGGTTCAAAAGATTATTTTTCATCGAAATTTTAAACAAATGAAAAGGACATTAATTTAAATGAAAATCCTATGTTTTTATAAAATAATCTTTAATAAAATTTTAATAATTTATATAAAAGTAATAATAATAATAATAATAATAATAATAATAATAATAATAATAATAATAATAATAAAAATGATTTTAATTTACTTTTTAATAGAAATTTTAAACCAAAGTTTGATATAATTAAATTAAAAAATCCTTTTTTGCCATCTCCTTAAAAATTATTATAAATTTATCAATTTAAAAACCTCAAAAATATTTATAAAATAAAAATAATATAACATCTTCTTATTAAATGATTCATACATATGACTCAAACTTTTTTAAACCGACAAATGAAAACCCATTAATGTTATCTACGAGTAGATTTTTTAGCAATAAATAAAATTAATAATAAGATCAATCTTAGAGTTCTTTTAGAATTTCAAATACTTTAAGGTCCCGCGTTATATTTAATTAAAAAAAAGAAAAAATTAAAGATAGTAGTGATATTAAATAAAATATCAAAACTATTGTTTTTTATTAAAAAATAAAAGATATTAAGAAAAAGTAAATTTTTTTGGAATAGTAAAAAGATATAAATGAAAAGGAAAAGAAACAATAAATAAAAATTATTAAATAAGATATTAAAGATATTAAAAAGACTGTAATTTCATATTTAAAAAATGATAATAATAAGAAATTAAGAAATAATAATTAATGAATATATTATTATTATATATTTATATATAAATATATATATAAATATATATATATATATATATATATATATTTTTATATATATTTTTATAAATTAATTTTTTTTTTTTTTTTTTCATATTTTTTTTAAGTGTTCACATAGTAAATTTATATTATTTGATTAATTTCTTGTTTATTTTTAAATAAATTAATAGTTTCCTAATTTTCTTTCAGACTCGAATATATTTTTTATTAAATCATATTAAGATTAAGAATATAAAGGATTTCCATTTTAATAAATAATTCCTTATTTAATATCTTTTAAAAAATCTTAAATTTTATTTTTAAGAATTTTTTATTAAATTTATATTTCAAAACTTTGTTTTTTATATTTAATATCATTCATTTCTGCTTTTCGAATTTCTTCGATTTTATGATTATTACATTCTTCCATTTCTTTATTAAAATATTAGAATTTTTTATACAATTCGTAATCTATAAAAAAATAATAATATAATATATATATATAAATACATATATTAATATTTATATTTACATATATATTTTTACTTATTTTCTACAATTAAAATTTAAGTGTAACCTCTTGTATTTTTATTAATTTGTTCTATTTGTCAAGTAAAAAATTCTTTAATATATCATCAAAACCATTCATTGTGTACATTTTTTATTTAGCTTTTGAATAATTTCCTTATAATGTTATAAATTTATCTAAATTATTTTAAAATTCTATAAAAAAATCTTACATTTCTTAATTATTAACTTTACTTTTTATAATATTATTTCTTTAAGTTATTATATTGCATGATTTAATCAAATTCGCATATTTAATTATTTTTTATAATCCTCCTTATGCTTAACTTTAAATATCGAAGGCAGCTTTTATCGTTTTATCTTTCTAGTTTTTATTTTCTGCTTATTTTAGTGCTTCTTCATTGTTTTTTGTCGGTTTTTAAGCCAAAATAGATAAATATTTTTACAAATATGCCTTTTGATTAGATTTATTTATAAAACTTGGAGAAATTTATGTTTATATAGGTGATTTTTATAAAGAAAAATATTATTTTTTAGACTTTTTTGATACAATATTGTCTTTTTAAAATTCAAAAAGACTGTTTTAGTCATTAAAAGTGACTAATAATTTTTTTGTAATGTTTTTAAAGAATTTCGTTAGTTTTTATTAGGGTAAAAAGATTAATTTTTGGTATTAAATGATGTATATATTTTAGAATGTGATTATATTTTCAAATTTGAAAATAATTTTTTATTTTAATTTAAAGAAGTTTAATAATTGTCATTATTTATAGATTATTGAAGTAAATAATTTTTTTAAGAAAAAAAAAAACGAGAAGTTAATTTATTTTAAAATAAATTAATTTTATTTAATTTATTATTATCAAGAGGTTTTAATAATTCTTTAATTTTTTAATAGATTACTTAATTTTAAATATAGTTGTCATTTTAAGACATTTTAAAATATTTTTTCTGTTTAAATATATTTTATGAATAAAATTTAAATAATTAATAAAAATAAATTATTGTTTAGAAGAGAAATAAAAATAAATAAAATATTAAAATATATATATATATATATATATATATATATATATATATATTTTTAAACAAAGTTTATAATCAATTATATTAAAAATAAATATTTTTATTTTCTAATATTAATATATATAAACATATATATTAAAACTTTATAATTAAGTAAATTTTTAAAATTATATAAAAATATATTAAAATTGTTTTCATTAAAATGATTATTTTTTTATTTTTATTTTTTATAAAATTTATATATATACATATATATATAACAATTTTTTTTATAATATATATATATAAATTATTGTTAACATATATATTAATTTTTATATATATTAATTTAAAAAAAAAAAATTATATACAAATTCATGATTAATCTATATATTTAATATATATAAATAACAATAATTAATATTTATTTTTTTGTATAATAATTATATTTAAAAGACTTTAATAATATTAAATTTATATTTATTCATAATTTTATTGTTATATGTTAAGGTATTTTTATAATATATAATTTAGAATTATTAAAAATAGAAATGATAAATAATTTCATTGCACATTATAATTAAATTATAATTTAAAGATATTATAAATGTTAATTATAATCTAAGCATAATTGAAATTTATAAAAACTTTAAAATTATATATAGTATATTTTAAATAATTTTTATTATTTATAAAGGATTTAAAATAATTTATAATATGAATTAATATAAATAAATTTCAAAAATAATAAATTTAAATCTAAATATTTTTAAACATATAATTTTATACAAAATATTTGTATTTTAATAAATTTATATATAAAAAAAATATAAATATATATTAAATAATATATAATTAAAATTATTTTTATATTAATAATAAATATATATATATATATATATATATTTAATTATTAAATTAATTTTATACCATATATATATTTATTAATTATTTTATTTTTTAAAAAAAATAAATTTTCAAAGTTTTAATCATTTTTAATATACATTTATATTGATTTTATTCAATTATATCGATAATTTATATAAATAAAATATTTATATAATTTTCATAATTTTAATTTTATAAAAATCTAAAATTATTATTATATTATTTTATTTTATATTTTATACATATAATATTAAAAATAAATATATATTAAATATTTTATATATAAAAACATATATATATATATTTATTATATTTATTAATTAATATTTTATTTTTATATATATTTTTAAATATGTATAAATTTAATTTTTATTTTCATCAATTTTAACTTTTTAATATAAAATTAATATTTATAATATAAAATCCTTTTATAATTATTATGTTAAAAATAGATACAATTTTATTTATTTTATAATGTTTATTTACCTGAATTAAATTATTATTTTAAACTAAAAATGGAGTGTTGGATTATAAAACTAATATCTATTTTCACAATATTTTTAATGATATTAGTAACAGCAAGTATACCTTTACGTGTTAAATCTTATAAAGAAAATACTCGATTAATGTCCTTATCATCTGTCATTTATTGGAGGTTTATTTTTATCAATTGGAATATTATATTTAATGCCTGAATCCTAAGAATATTTAAATTAGCATTATTAAGAAAGATATGAATAACTTTAGAAAGAATATAATTAATAAAATTAACTAAATCCTGAATAAATAAAAGAGGAATAAGATTGTTTGTATGATGAATTGATAGAAGAATATAATTAAAATAAAAAAACAAATGAAAATAATGAAAACGAAGAAAATAGTGAAAATTAAAAATAGAAAGAATAAGAAGAATTGTAAGAAATTTATGATTATGTATATAATATAGATATATCAGAATTTCAGTTAGTTATTATAAATAAAGAAATACGTGTTAAATAATTTCCGTGGTCATTTTTTACAATAGTTATAACTTTTTCATTAATGCTCCTTATAGATAAAATTATTACCGGATAAAATTCACATGAAGATTATATAAATATAGATTAATTATAAAAGAAGATTTCAATTAATGAAAATTAATAAAAATATTATATTAACGAATAATAAAATAATATAAAAAAAATAATTAATAATAATAATTAATAAAAATATGAAATTGAAGATTAATAAATTAATAAAAAAAGTGAATAATAGGAAATTTAAGATATGTAGTCTTAGTAAATAAATATACATTAAAATATTTATTACAAAAAAAGAAATACAACCACTGCAATTTTATAAAATAAAGAAGAAATCTCTTAAAAATTAAGTACATCTAAATAAAATAATTAAGAAGATAATATAATCAAAGAAATAAAGAAAAAAATTTCTAAAAACTGCTTAAAACTTTATGTATTATAAATTACATTAGGATTAAATGCTATATTAGAGGGATTAGCTATTGGAATTGAAAAAGATTGGATAAAATGTATAGTAATATTTGGAGCTGTACTTTTTCATAAATGGATTGAAGGATTAACTTTAGGAAATTCATTGAAAAAAGCTAATATTGATTTAAAAATAACTACTATAATGGTTATCATCTTAGCTATTATGAATATTATAGGAATAGGTATTGGATGGAAATTATGCCTATCAGAAAAATTACAAATGAGTATTTATATGAGTATAAGTGCAGGTGCATT